TAAATTACCAATTCAATTATCAATATTTATTATAATGCTGGTCTTTTCTAATAACTGATTTTATTAATTTTTTTTTATTAAGAGATTTATTAATCCAATTAAGTGATTTATTCGCTATTTATTAGTACTAAAATTATTTATCTATTTATCTAACAACAATTTTAATTAACATTTTAATTAAACTTTTAGTTAATGAAGGAGGGCACCGCCTGTCGGCCGGCGGCCAGCGACTGCGACCTGCCCGAGTACTGCAGCGGCCGCGACAGCCGCTGCCCGGTGGACGGCTTCAAGAAGAACGGCCAGTACTGCGAGGACGGGAAGAGCTACTGCTTCAACCGCACCTGCCAACACCTGGACGGGCAGTGCGCCGCCATCTGGGGCGCCGACAGCGCCATGGCCGCCCTGGACTGCTACCGCAAGTACAACGCCGAGGGCATGTTCAACGGCCACTGCGGCCTCCATCCCGACGGCACCTTCCGGGCCTGCGAGCCCGGCGACCTCCTGTGCGGCAGTGTGCAGTGCCAGGGCGGCACCGCCCACCACGACCACTTCACGGCGTCGGCCTCCGTCATCACCCACAAAGGTCACCCGCTGGAGTGCAAGACCCGCACCTCGGAGGGCGTGCAGATGGACAGCGTCGACGTCCTGCTGGCCGCCAACGGCACCAAGTGTGACGTTAACCGGGTGTGTCTCGCCGGGCGTTGCGTGGACATTGTCCCGCTGATCCAGGCCGGGACGTGTCCGGGGAGTAACGCCGTGACCTCCTGCTCCGGACACGGGCAGTGCAGTGACCTGAACCAGTGTTCCTGCGACGCCGGGTACGGCGGCGACGACTGCGCCCGGAAGACCGCCGCCCGGCAGGACAACACCTCTGCCCACTCCCGCCACGTCCCCAACGCCCCGCCCATCCGCTCCAGCCGGCTGGAGTTCAGCGAGCTCATCGACAACTTCATGATCCCCATCATCATGGCGTCGCTGATCGCCTTCTTCCTGGTCTTCTTCCTGGTGGCGCTCTTCTGCTACAAACAGCGGACCAGTGACGGGTACGACGGAACCCTCCCGGAGCCGGAGGACATCAGTCTGGTGGCGACGAAGCCGCCCCTGCGGAGTCCGGTGGCGAGCTACGCCTCCCTGAAACGCAATGACCTTTCCTCCAGCCAACTGAACCCCGAACGCCGCAGTCTCCTGTCGGACGCCGGGACCTACCGCAGCTACAATGGCAGCTTCAGCAGTCACCACCGGACCTACGCGCCGCCCTCGTCCACCTCCACCCAGCAGCTCCTCCCCATGGAGGTCCTCCGCGGGCACAAAGACGCGGCGGTGTCGCCGTTCGTCAAGCGGCGGCTCTCCAGCCGGCACAATCTCACGGTCCCGCCCTCTCCGGCGTGGGGACACGTCGCGCCGGACGAACGCCTGTCCGACGAGTGGACCTCCATCTCCGACGAGTTCAACGGCACCCACGAGTACTGCAAACCGGGTTCGCTGTACACCGAGACCGCCCTGATCACGCCTACTCGCGAGACCTACCGCGACTCCCTGCGCCGGAAGAACCGCCACAGCCCCTCCAGCACCGTCCCCCCGGAAACCCGGGAGGTGGCGCTGCAGGTCAACCTCGACGGGTTCCCCGCCGGGGAGGAGCGCCCGCTCAGCGGGTACCTCCCGCCGCTGCCGCCGGCCATGCGCGACCTCACCGTGACCCGGGTCATGAACCCCCTCCCGCGGGTGTCGGTGCAGCGGGCGGAGAGCCCCGAGGCGTTGTGGCACGCGGGAGTCTCGTCCCGTTCGCCACGCCTCCTTCACCATGTCAACTCCATCATCCTGCCGCAGCAGCACGCCCCGCGCCACGCCCCCTTGACCGGGTCGCCGCGGCGGCGCACCCCGGCGTACGTCATGCAACCGCCGCACGAGGGGCAGTGGAGCGACAGCGACGAGTCCAGTGATAGCAATCATCTGAGTGTCAACCATCTGTCGCATAACGTTCGCATGTAATGTCGTGTACGATTCGCTGGCTTCTGATTGGCTCAATAAAGTGTCGTAATAATTGATCATTAGGCGCGTCGCTTCTCATTGAGACACTGAACACGCACATTAACAACTCGCGCAACCTTTATGTACGTACAACTGTCTTGCTTCTGATTGGCTCAATAAAATATCACAATAATTAATTAATAGGCGAGTCGTTTCTCGTTGAGACAGTAAGCACAGCTAACACACACACTCCAGAAAAACTCGCGTAACATTAATTCAGAGTGAAGGAGATTGCAGAGCGGAAGATTAGCTCTACACCATCGTGTAGCGGCAATACACGCTGACCCACATTCTACCCGGCCACAGCCGCGTTTTTTTACCGACACATACCAAACAATTCTAAACACACACACACATCGGCCATAAACAACGTTGTCCTCGTGCTGCTCTGACAATCAGCGCAACAAGTCGACAATCCAACGATTATTCTACCGGTACGACGCGCTGTTCTCACGTACATGCATACATGGGAAAACCGGTTTCGCCGTGGTGCAGTTAAGCGCAGCGAATGTTTGTTGCTTGACGATGCAGCTGTCGGCGGTGAGCGCGCACGTGAAGCTGCATTTCATCTTGACGCTAGAAATCGAGACTATAGAGTTTGGAACGCCGATGTGCAGGATCGTGTAATCATAGTTTCCTTGTAAATACTTGCAACGCTGACGCAAAATTCTCTGCCTTTCATTATTATTATTATTATTATTATTATTATTATTATTATTATTATTATTATTATTATTAATTTTAATACGCCCGAAATTTTTTGGACATTGCAGTGTATCGGATTTGTCGGATATTTTTTAATAATTTATTTTCCTGTTTTGAAATACTGCAACCGCTACCACACATTCTCTTGCCTTCATTATTATTATTATTATTATTATTATTATTAGTACGCCGAAAATTTGGAGGATCTGTAGCGTATCAGATCCGCCGGATATTTTTTATACGATTTATTTCCTTATCCCGAAACTACCGTGTATATAAAGTGTCTCTGTATCTGGCAGACGGATTAATTGTGAGCCCAATACATATCATAATATTCTCCGCACTTCCTGCTGCTGGGTTTGGCGCCTATACGGCAACAGGCAAATGACCTCGTCGGGTGGCTGTGTGTTTTTTGCATAGATCGGATGCAGCGTTAGCAGTGCTACCTGCAACACTCCGGCCTTTCATTTCTCTCTCTGTCTCTCTCACTCTCTCGCGCAATTCATCAAGCCATGAAATAACAACCTTGAGCTGCCGCTGCGCCGCCACTGTAGCCGACCATTTTCTAACACACAACCCACTGATATCATTTTTATTTCCTCCATCAATTTCTCCACACCCGTGTGTGTTGATCATTCCCCGCGTTTCTCTGGATAAATATTGGGAATTACACCGGAAATGTACGCTGCCGTGTCGCCGGGATAAATTCCTCGACGGAGTCACGAGGCAGGTTTGTTTTAATCAGACAGTCGGAATCCCCTGGTCCGTGCCAGTTGTGAGTTGGCTGTTATATGCTGTATTGATTAACCTGGTTTTGGCAGCTTCGCGACCTGATTGAGGTGGCGCTCGAATGCACACTATAATATCGAAATACTGCACGTAGCGCAGCTGGGCCAGAACGTAATGGTCCGAATTTTATTTGGACGCAGAAGAGTGTTATATTCTCCCGGGTGACAGTAATGAGTGTCTCTGACAAGCGAATATAAATTGCCCATATATTCCGTGCCGGTAGAATCTTATACTCTCTTCTTTAACACATTTATTCGCTGTAATCATTATATTATGCGGACACCGCGGGAGGCGGCTACCGGCCGGCGTAAATGGCTGACCACAGGAAATAATGTTATTGATGCCGCCGCGGTGTGTAGCGAATGCATAAACAACCGCCCCATCCGAATATTATTTTGTGTAATTATATGATGCCGATAACGTTGACACCGCGGCTTGATCGAAATAATTCATTTGCGCCGGGAATGAATATTTTGTAGCGATTATGCGCAGCGTCCGAATGCTGTGCGTGTCGAGGACGAACGGTGGAAATGCAGTGTTGTCCCGGTGTTGACAAACATTGCAATTGGTTCCGCTACTGATCACCGCTATAAAATGCGTGTATTCGCTAGCATTCCACCGCGGTGCTTTCGCGGCGTTCGCGCATAGCAGGTTGCAAGTGACGGCGAGTTACAAGCGGCAATTAAGAATGTCCTGTTTGTTGACGGCGGCGCTGGTTGAGAAGCCAACCAGCAAACGTGTTAATCGAAGAATTTTATAAAATTAAAAACGAAGTCGCGCAAAAAGGTGAAATCGGCCAGTCGGTCCGCGGTTTAAAAATTGATTAATAAAATTAGAAACCGTGCGCAATATGAAAAATTCGAACCGAGATGCCCTCGTTTGAGCAATTTGTGTTAAAACGAAGCATCTACTTTTTTCGTCCGACTTCATAAATCGTTTGGCTATTTAGCGGGTTAGGGTCTCGTTCGTTATCGTAATTAACCAGACCACAACTTAGAATTAAAGAAACTGAAAAATCAACCGATCGGTCCGCGGTTTGAAAATTAATTATTAAAATAAAAAATACCGTGTGCAGCAAGCGCATAAATCGCCAGCGCCGGGTTCGAACTGCGAAGCGCTTGTTTGCGCAATGTGCGCTGAAACAACGCAGCCACGTTATTTTAACATTGATATAAATTCCTTAATATAATCGCACTACTGTAGTATTTTCATACGTGTTGATGTAAAAGCACGTCTAGCATAGTCAAAATGGGAAATAAAAATAGCAAATTAATGTGCAGCGCTTGATTGGCGCGGGACGCTGTTGGGTGCTTGTAAACCGGCTTGGCAATGGAATGCGGAATAGATATGCTAAACACGGCGTGATTAGTCCGTATTTGCCTAATCCAATAACCAACCAGCACGTACAATAATTATTAAGATTTTCCGGAGAATGTCTGTATAGTGTCGCCGGCGCAATATTAACGCTAGCGTCACGGGAGATGCTTGGCCGTGACCTGCTGCACCCGTACTCTTCCCAGCCCGCCCCCGCAGGCGGCGGCAGTAGCGACAGGTGCAGTTGCCGCGACTGCATAATCCAATTATAAACGGCTCATCGCCATGCTGACGAGTGGAGAGCAGCCACTCAAAAATCCTCATTATTTCGGCAGTGTACATGTGTTGCCGTGAGTGTGCGACATATTCCGGCGTAATGGAACCGGTTGTCAGTGCGCTGTGTAATGTGTATGCGATTGTAGTCTACATTGTTTTGATAAAGTCGCTCGTCAGTTGTCTTGTTAAGGATCGGGCATTCTGAAGTATATATCTCGGAAAAGAATGCCGCAAAGTTTAAAATTACACGTACGGAGAAAAACGCGTCAAGATGCTTTCTGCGGATGATTGATCAGCGCAACAGCAGGTTTATTTTTAAATACATCGCAACTTAGTAACTATAAAATTGCTTATACATTCTATCCACAACTTAACAAGTAATTAGTTAATCGGCAATATCACAGCCATAGTCACAACAAAGCTGCGTAACGTGCAATTGTTTTTAATCGGTTAACACGACTGACGAATACTATGGTAGAAAAAGGTTAGGATGCTGTGTCATTCAAATTGTTTTGTGTGTCTTCATGTACTTTAGCAAGGGCTTTGCTGGTTGCACGCAAATTGTTAGCCGCTGCTACGGTAGTGGCATTTCTTCAGCAGGAAGTCATTGTTGTGCACGGGGCGATAAGCAGGTCCTTTCTCTGTGTGTTGTAAGAGGAGGGCCTTATCATTTCAGCACTGATAAGCCGCGATTAGCCACAATTCCAGCATGCGCAACAGCAATTACTCGGTATACACTTCATGTACACTATAAGCAACAATTAGCTTCCGAGCTGATTGTCAGCCTACAACAGGCCCATCACATACGCGCACATCCCACCACTTTGTAACTATACTGTGTATCTGATATTTTTCTGGATAGTTGGGCGAATTTGCTAGTTTACGGGATTAATCGCCTCCAGCATCTTCAAGCTGTTCCTGTGCAGGTACAGAGTAATACAGGGAACTAGGTAGTACTGGCTTTCGCGGCCATGTACACGATTTTCTTCCGCTACACTGTATACAGTTCCTAGCATCAGTGTTTTTATTACAGTGTTGTATTAATTAAGTCTTGTTACCTGGAAGGAGAAACTACCGTAGTTTACCGTACTTTTATGTAAGGTTTTTGGATGGGGAGGGGTAAAAATAAGGGGGGTACTGGAAAAAAGAAGAGTAGCGTAGGTCTTTATTTCAGGATTCGTTTAAAGCGGTTGGGTACAAGTTACAACAGTGTACTCTACTTGATAAAAAGACGATATTACTGGAGCTCGTTAGCAAATGGTTGTTTCTCCTCTACCAGCAGCTGCTTTTTGTCGTGATAGGAAGGTACTGTCATGAGAACCCGGGACAATTAATTTGCTGCATAGATAATCAGCGTGCGGAGTTATGATTATAAGCGTGAGTCGGTGCATCGATTCAACGATCAGTCAGTCAAAATCAGCTGCAGCGGAATTCGCTCAACGCGTACGGCAAGAATATCGCGTATTAATTAATGCTACACTATCATAGCATTTCTGTTTGTAGAATGGTGATTGCCGGTTTGGTATGATCGAAGTTCACACACACACACTGAAAGCGTATTGCCCATGCTAATTCCTACCGCATAACAGACACGCACCGCGGATTATAAAGCCGTACCATGTGTCAAGCTCCAAGACTTTTCAAATTTTAAAATTCTGAACAGTTTGTATAGTTTAATATGCGTGCCATGCAGTGCTAGCACGGCGGCCGTTGATGAGGCGGACCGCAGATCAGCGCGCCGAACCGAATGAGTAAGAACAGTACACTAAGAAATTAACGGGTCCTGGCGCCGGCATCGAACGGACACTCCGCTGCCGTTGATTAATCAGCGCGCACTAATTAATACACGTATATTAACACATACGGGTATTGGCTGCAAAAACCGGCAATTTTCACCCGTTATTTTACATACTACCGGTCCAAATAACGCCGCGTTGTGAAGCCGAATAATTGCGGTCCAGAATCGCTGAATAAATTTGTCACAAGATACTTGTCGAATTGAGAATCGAGCGGTGTGCAGTTGTAGCGCGTGTAACAGTAATAAAGTGCGTTTGATGGATGGGTTCGCTCTCAATTCTTCTTCAATGTATCTTGTGATAGGCGACAACTAATGACTCACGGTCACCCGGCGCGTCTAAATGTAGGTGAAGCGCGCGGATTCTGGTCATAACGTTACTACACGCTTTACACAACAGCCACTAGATAAATATTTTTTTCTATTTTTTGTTTTTATTTGCTGAATTTTAGCGTGTTGTAGGTTGAATGCCGGTATAATTCGCGGTGGACGGCGAACGTGTGCGGAATGAGTCGCGACAACTCCTACGAAGGCCGACTGCCCCACGGGGGCGGCGGGGCGGGGGCCAGCGCGGGGGCCAGTAAGCTGGCGCTGAGCAGCATGAAGGCCAACGGGCACGGCCATCTCAACGGCCACGCCTCCCACGCCCGCCCCGCCCACAGCGCCAGCAGTGCCGGCTACTATTCCGGTACGTCCTGTGTAAATCACTTTCCTGTCCAGCATAACTAGATTTTTTAAAAAGCACTACGTTGAAAATTTCTAGTGAAATAAATCCAGAAACTTTCGCCGCTTGAAGCCATTGCAACCGCTCGGTGTGGCGGCGTAATGTGAATCTGATCTTAAATTTTTTTAAACAATTTCTGTTTTTTCCTTTTTGATTTTTGTCCGAAAATTTAACTTTCTCTGCAGGACTTTTCATATAAAAATTAAGACAAAATTACAAGTATGTTGTAAATGTGTTAAATGGAACCAGACTGATGCAAAATCGAACGTAGAGAAAAACGCGACATAAATCGAACGTGAAATAGTGCGAGTGTTAATTAGTTATGCCGTACCAAAATTGCCGGTGGATGGCTGAGTAATATAACGCGAAGATCCCCGGCCAATTGCCTATCGTAAACAAACTTGTATCGTGTGATGACAATGGTGGCTGCAGGTCAGTCCGGCAGTGAAGACGGCGCCCTCTACACCGTCGACCATCTGGCCACCTTCACCGTCGGGGAAAGTTACGGTGAGTGATGGAATGAAGCGTGAGCAAGACAACAAACAATTTCTCGTTATGGCGCTGCAGCGCAATTAAAGCCAATCATCCGGCGCGTATATGTGCGATTCGGCGCTTATACAACTCTGGTGTAGACGAGCTTATCATCATACCCAACGTATTCGAATCCTCCTTACATATAAACATATTTATGTTCATGCTTGTGCATTCAACTAAGGAAACATCTTTCGCATTACGCAACGCTACGTTTGCAGAGTTGGTGCATCCGCAGGACGGGCTACGCCGGCTGCGGCAGATGGAGAAATCCAGCGGGATCTGGACGCAGCGAATGTATCTGCGCGTGGAGCATAACTGGCTGGTCATTATCGACTACGAAAACGGGGTACAACCCTTCCCTTATTTAATGTGGAATTGTTAAAATTAAGCTAATCGGTTAAAGGACACCGTGGAGCGCTTCCCGATGGAGTTAGTGAGCCAGCCCAGCCACTTTTTAAGCCAGGATCCCAAGGAGCTGTACAACAACATCCTCTTGTTCACCGTCAAACCCGATCCGCGCTCCAAATTCAACGCCGGCATCTCGGAGATGCACTTATTCCACTGCCTCAAGACCTCCGCCCAGACCATCGCTGACAGCATCACTCTGCTCTGCCGGACTGGGCTCAACGGCGCCGACAAATCTTCCTCGTAAGTTTCGCCACCTGGGTATATATGCGCTATATAAAGAGTATAATATACGCACGTTGAATTGACCTTTCCTCGTTTATGTGTTCATATACTGTCTAAATCGTATAAGATCTGTACTAATGTACTATTGTATCTGTACTGTAATTATTGGGTTAACTTCTGCATATACATACACGGTACATAGTGCATACATATATAAATCGTACACGCATATATAGATCGTATATAAAAAAATCGTATATACGCACCTTTCTCTCTCCACATACAGTGCCAAGCGGAAAGGCGACAACGGCGTCCTAGTAGGCGCCGGCCTCCTAGCCATGTCCTCCATCCCTCCGCCGCCCGCCAACCCTCCACCCGAACCGCCGCTCCAGGGCGGTGTCAATGTTAAGGAGCGGGTCGATGTCTTTAATAACATCCTCGGTACATCCGCAATTAAAATGTTCATATAACGACGGGGGATCGATGAAAAATTGTATATAGGAGAGTCGCGTAACGGCCGGCCGATGGGACGCAGTTACCTGCTGCAGGAGGCCGACAGTGAGTCGCAGTCGCAGCGCAGCGACAGTACCAGCACGAATTACGAGCGCGACGTGGCCATCCTCAATCACTGCTTCGACGATATTGAACGTTTTATCGCGCGGCTCCAGTACGCTTCGGCGGCCTACAAGGAGCTGGAACGCCGGCGCCGGCAGCGCAAGAGCAAAAAGAAGGAAGCTGGCGGTCAGTAAACGAACAGCTGTATACAATTTAAAAAAAAAATTAATAAAAAACTTAGTAAATTTTAAATTCAAAATTTATTAAGTTTTAAATAAATAAATTGAAAATTCAAAATAAAAAATGCTTTAGAATTTGAAATTATAAGCTGTTAATCAAGGTTTTCTTCGTTCAAAACAGACGGAATGCTGTTAGTCCGCGCACGACCGCCCGCGGAAGCCGAGTTCATCGACATCCTGCAGAAATTCAAGCTCAGCTTCAACCTCCTGGTAAGTCGCCCATTCCCGCGCATTTCCCGTCTGCCGGTGATTTTTCCATGATGTTCTTCCTTAGGGCAAACTGCGCTCGCACATCCATGACCCGAACGCGCCGGAGCTGGTGCACTTCCTGTTCACGCCGCTGGCGCTGGTGGTGGACGCCAGTCTGGACGCCGAGTACGGGCCGTCGCTGGCCGGCAGTGTCGTGGCGCCGCTGCTGACGGAGGAGGCCAAGCAGCTGCTGCTCAACTGTCTGACCAGCAAGGAGAGCGACCTGTGGCTGTCGCTGGGCGAGGCCTGGAGTCAGTCGCGCGGCCACTGGCCCGGCCATGTTCCTACCTACCAGCCAGTCTTTCATGACGGATGGGAGCCCAGTATTGACCGCGACCTCACGCAGGCCGGGGCGCTGTATAATGAGCGGCTGCGCGGACGCCTGGAGCACAACTGGAAGGAGGTCCGTCGCGTCTACAACGTGCTTTTTTTCAATAAGAAAACATAAGAAAACATAAGAAAGCATAAGAAAACACCGAACACGCATTCTATATATTAGGAGCGGGATTTCGAGCAGGACAGCAACGGCGAGTATCCGCCCTACTCCGACTACCGCCACCATCTGGACTCCACGCCCTCCCCGTCACCCCGTCAATACTCCGAAAAGTACCTCGTTTATTGCCAAGAAATTATATCTAACGTTACTAACGGTTGCCTATTTGTCTGACAGGGAACGAGACCGCGACCGGCACAGCGACTTCAGCGACGGTGTCGGCTCGGAGAACGATTATGAGCGGCGCCAGCGCCGCTTCGCCGGTGACCTTTTGGAGTCCAAAGCCGCGTCCTCGGCGTCCACGGCCAAACTGGTGCAGGTGCAGCACGCCCGCGCCGGCCGCAACGACAAGGAGCTCAGTGTGCAGGAAGGCGAAATCCTGGAGGTGGGTGTGGCTCTGCCGCTAGTGTCTATGACCTTTATGGGTGCTCGACATCCGAGGTGACCTTTATGGTCCCGTCTTACGTTGCGCCTTAAGCTGCAATGACCTTTAGGGTAATATGAACTCGCGGTGACCTTTAGAAGAGGTTCCCGGGGTCCTTGAGATTTACGGTGACCCTTACGGCACCAAGGGTCTGAAGTAACTTTAAAGATGTCGTAGAAAATTTAAGGGTGCTTGGAGCCCAACGTGACCTTTAGGAGTGGTTCCAGGTGGAATTCTACTAGACGGTGCGCATATGTGTTGCAGGTGCTGAACGACAGCCGAAAGTGGTGGCAAACCCGTAACAGCCGCGGCCAGGTGGGCTACGTGCCGCACACCATCGTCCGCGCCTACGCCGGCGACACGGCCGACGACGCCTACGCCTCCGGATACCCGGGTGCCTCACCGTCGCAGCGGAGCCACCAGCGCTCCGGCGGACAGCTGAGCGGCAACCGTTCCCACCGCGACCGCCACCGCTATGATTAACGCGTTTCTTACGATCGTTATTGTCGATATGAGCGCTAGTGTCGGCGTGATGCCGGCTGAGCGTGTTTTTGTAGGTTTTTTTGCTCGGGCGTGAGCAACTGCTGACCGGTGCTTTTTTGTTTGTCTTACGCTGTGCAATATGTCGACGTGACGGGGCGTGTCACGCAGTGCCGTTTGTTCTGGTTGTAATTTATTGTTGTCCGCTGATTACAGAGAGACACCGCGCGATTTTACATAATTTTGACGGCTGTCTGTGGACGATTGCTATTGGTCTTAGTAAAAGATACTGGTTTATTTAGGGATTTGACCCGGTACATAGCACCAAATGCGTGTACATCCACGGGAACTTTCGCTGGCGCGCACTCGCAAACACGTTTTCTGCATTGCTTAACGATATTTTGTAGAGGTAGCGCATTCGAAGCTCTGGCGTTTCGTTGGGTTTCAATCGATTCCTAAGTGTAGCTACAATGTATCTGGAGTATGAATGAGTGATGAAAATAAAATTATATGCTGAAAACTATAGTACAGCATTATTTTTACTCGCGTAATCAGCTCATAATATGTCTTTGCTACTCTGTATGTACATCGCAGTAATAACCTTAAAGCTGCAATTACACAACTTACTTGAAAGCGAGTTAGTTTCACCTGATTGTTGCAGACGTTAAAGCGGATTAAATAAATAGTCAGTATAAACAATAACAACGCTACTTGCAATAAGTAATGGGTCTGTTAGTATTATAAGCAGTATATCTTATCGGCATACTGCAGACAGCGCTGCGGTGTGCCGGGCGGAAAGTAGGGAATCTCCGGGCAGCTGATGCCGTCGGCCAGTACATAGCACTCTTTGGCTTCGGCCAGGATGTGGCTGCCCCGGCATAGCAGCATCCCCGCCAGCCGGACACAGCTGCCTAGATGGTCGCCGCTGAACGGACGCCGGGGCGGATCCAGCGGCCGCTCACTGTCCTCATCATCCTGCGCCGCGGTCTCCTGATCGATCCAGTCGCGGTAGTAGCTGACTTTGGTAAAAGCGTCCGCCGTTCCCGAGTGGCACCTGCGTATAACGTACAGAATAACCACACACTGGGCTGTTACGGGAGATACTGTCCGCTTACAATTCCACTCCGTGACTGGTGATGCCGATTAAATACGGGCCGTCACGGCGCCGCTCCACCAACGGTCCGCCACTGTCGCCCTAATCAAGAACAGAAGCCATCACGCTGACACACTGCGCTACGTCTGATAAACCCAAGAAACGTTCCTTGCACCACCAGTAGCATATACATACACATTACACAACACACATATATACATATACATATATCATGTACATATACACACATTTAATTATACAAAGTGTTAATCGTAACTATACATACAGTATATAAGTACGTACATATATCGAAGTATATAATTATTATATATATCTAATCCGCAGACCGACTGGCCGATTTTCCCATTTTGCCCTACATTTGTACATACATTACACGTGCCGGACTGGGCGTTGCCCGTGCAGATCTGGCTGGTGGGGATGTCCTTGCTCAGTGCCGCACCGCAGCGCTCGCGATCCACCACCCGCAGACTGGTGCTCAGCAGCGTCGGGGAGCCGGACGCCTCCTCTTGGCCTTTCTCCGTGACGCCCCAACCGGCCGTCTGCAGCGCTGTCCCGATACGCGGGTCCGCTTCGCCGCGCGCCGGCAATCGGATCCCGGAGACGCGCGGGATGCCGGCGGCGCTGCGTTCCAAGCGCAGAAGGGCGATATCGTTGGGCACGTTACCCGCTTCGCTGAAGCGCGGGTGCACCGTGATGCGGCGAACCGCGATGAGGTTTGAGGCGCGGATGTTCGACTGCTTAGAAACGCCTACCGCCACGCGCAGGCGGCTGGCGGGCGTAGTGTAGCCTCTACAAAATAACTTTCTTGAACCTCTAAAAGATAATTTTCTTATACATGAAGATCGATTGACCGCTTTCGCTATATATTTCGAACAAAGCGAAAGGTCACCATGGCGGATGGGAATATATTAACGCCATTTTTTCCCCCGTGTAAAGTCCTCACTCTTACCGCTGCTGCACACAATGCGCGGCCGTTACCACCGTCTGTAGATCCATCAGCAGCGATCCGCCGCAGTTGTGCTCGTAAGTCCCCTCGAAATTCTGTTGCACACTGACGATAAAGTCGAAGGCGTTGGCCGCCGCAGGCGTCCCGCCTATGGCATAAAAAAGGCTCTACCGAATCCATCAACATGAGAGTTGAATCGTATACCTAATTACTGGAATTAAGTAATCGGTTACCATAATTATGGTTAATACAGACCGTATTGCAATTAAACAACCGAAGAAATAATATAATTACTAAGAAACCTAAATTGTTGGTCTTATTGTATAAGAAACGGTGCTGGCAGCCCGTTTTTTAAGTAGAGACACCACGTGACCAAAATGAACGGGACGGTAATGTACCGATAATCCGTTGGGAGCTGCTGCGGAAGCCGGAGCGGCGTGTGGCATTAACCGGCGCTGCCGGACGCGCGTAGGAAAACTTGACGGCACCGCCGGCGGCCGGGCGGACATCCTCCCGTATCCGCGATGGACTGCCTGCAATCATCCTGGCTGGCTTAAAACAATTAGCCTGTTAAGAGGACAAACGTACCGTGACAGACAACCAGCAGGCATCCACCCAGCAGCCCGGCCCATCTCCACCACGCCGTAATCTCCAACATTGTAAATTCGTTATGTGCGTAAAGAAAGACTGACCGTGAGATTTGACCGCTTTTTCTGGCTTTATATTGCTTTGTTTATGGGCGTTTGTGACGACACATGCGTAAGCTTTCCGATGGCTATCTTGGTGGAAATCACGCAAGGCCCGTCCGGATGGGTGATGTCATGCCGGTTCGTCAACGGCGAACAGCCGGCGCGCGACTGCGTCATTGCACAGCCACAGCCACAGACGACACAACGCGGTACAATTTGTCCAGTTTATAATAAAAATACAGTTGATGTACAGCTTACAAAGCGGTGATCATGATACAGTTCTTCGCCTACAAATATTCCTTCAGTGATTAGTATCGCTGCATATATACCAAGCAGCACTTTGCGCTAGGGTACCATCGTGACCGGAAGTCACGATGCACTTCATGCAGGCTCGTATATTGTACTCTTAACAGCCTAACCAACGTCTGGGTGCTTTAATATCAAAACTATTACAACGTAGACTGAAACGCTACGCACTGGATTGCCTTTCCGGCGGCCCAGTCGCCAAACTATCCGTAACTGTAATCAACTATGATGGTGTAGAAATAACGAGGATAAGGGAACGCAGGAACAACGGCTTTGGGCGGTAGTTTAATAACGTTCGGTCGATCGTTCGTTCGTTAGAAGTCGTAAGAACGGAATCCAATGGATCCCGTAAACAGTAACAGACTGCCATTTTATAAGCGAAGAAACATGAGTGTTTGGGTAAGGCTAATTGAGATGGGATAGGTTTCTTTGATTTAAGATTACATTCACATTTTACTCATACAACAAGTACACACTCGCACATTATTAGTTACACAAGACATTAACGCTATACTGTCCATAACGGACGCTAGAGATTTGCGACAGATTTATTTATATAAAGTACAACCATTTTCAGTTCCAGATTATTTATACAGCCATTATTTCGTACTTCCTTTTTCTCATATTTCGGTCAGTTCAAAGTTCAAGTGTAGAGTTTCATTTTTCAGTCACCTGATGTTAAAATTTCCTGGCAAACAAAGAAACCTAAATGAAAAGTTTTCACAGTAAAAACTTTGCGCATGAATTTCGAAGCACAAACTTAATACGATTTCCAAAAAAAGCATTTGAACGAGAACCGGAATTCGACGGGGTGCAGTGTAAAGAACCGCTCGTCCACGTTTGCAAATATTACACAATTCAAACCACTACATTTTCAATTTTGTTTTCGTGACTAGAGTAGTCTACCGACCAGTGAAAAACAAATCCAAAGATCACGTTGTGCGATTAGCAGCTAGCGGTTCATATAGCGCGCCATTTGGGTGGTGTAAAACTGACCGGTGACCAAAATATGAAACCATAGGCTTAAAGTGACCGAAATCCGCGAACAATTCTGGATGATCATCATCAGCTGATCGTGTACACTGTTCACGGCTGATTTCTTGTAGTAATTTAATTCCCGGTAAAGCTAGTAAAAAAGCGCGTTTTGCATATGTGTTTGTCTGAGCATTATCTCCTTGCACAAAACCGAGGATGATTTTCCACAACATTTCTCATGATCAACAGTGTAGCTGGCACGCTGGACTGCCGCCGAATGCCGCACCACAACAATGCGTGTTGACAGCTGGTGGAAGGCGTGTATGTTGACACAAATGAATCGGCACAAAACGCCGGTATAGGTAGGCGCTGTTCTGCCGCGTGTACCGTGCATGCGTGGCAGTGTTGGCAAACAAGCGGAACCGAGTCAACAGGAGATACCTGGAGCTGCTAATCCACCGCAGTTGTTCCTCTGCCGCGTCAGCACAACATCCATTGATGGGCATGGGGGAACGGTGCGGTGTTGACACTATTCATTTTACTATATAAACCATCATTGACGCGCCAGCTCCTTATTACCCAGGAACACAGTCTGCAATAGCAAAATACTGTTCAGTTCGCAGCTTTAACGCTCCGACATGGCTGTCGCTCGTCTCCTCTTTCTGCTGGCCGTGCTGGCCAGTATGATGGTCTTCCAGCTGGTATCCGGTAAGTGTGACCTTTTGGCTGTATGCATTAACCGTCGGGGAAGGTGTGCGTTAAAGCCGTCTTGATGGCATGCAGGTCAGTACTACGGCAGCTACTATCCGTACACCTACAGCTACGGCTACTATCCCTACAGCAGCTACTCGGCCTACACCTACCCCTACTACAACTACTACAGCTACTACCCGTACGCGGGACGATAGACGGTCGGACGCCATGGAACAACGTGGAGAACCGACGATTAATGTATATATTCAAGCCTGATTTATGCACGTACATCAGACTATCGCTGCCATAGGGGCGTGTAAGAAAACGCTAAAGGTCACTTATGCTACTGCCGTAAATTACACATGTGTATCGCGGGTTTATAGCGGTGTAGTGTGCCATGGTCTACGTACTGCGTACGTGCGTTTTAATGTCGTTGTGTTTTATAAACGCCAGCAAATTAACGGCCGATATACCGTTCCTGTATACGAATAAAGTAATCATACCGTGACCTTTTTGTACCGTAGTAAGCATTCTCTTTGTGCGTACATAGACAATACTGCTGCTGTATACACAGCAGCAGTATGCTATCATAATATCTTCAAAGAGTCCACAAGGCGGTTTTTTTTAATCGGTGTATATATCTGTACATCATTCGTCTCAACGCGAGCAATCACACTAAGAATACTAAGAATACTTGCATATTGCACAGCAACAGGCACACTGAATTGTCAACCACCGCAATTTCTCCGCATCACTGTCAGACGCACTTCCGCTGAGCAAGGACAAGACGACCAACGAGTTGCTTATCGCTTGCCGAATCCGTAATAGGGATAGCCGTATCCATAGCTGTACCCGTACGGGTACCCATAGCCTCCGTACCCGCCGTAGCCGTAACTGTACGGATACCCGTACCCACCGTATAATCCGCCAAAAAACTGCCCTAAAATTTTTCCAATGAATATTAACAACCAACGCTAATTCAGCGGCATTTTCTAAAGGTCAACGTACCGGTCACCGGGGAAACTAAGAATACACTGGCTAGGAAGAGAGCGGCAACAAGGAGAAGCAGGATACTTGTGCTACGCGATGCCATTCTTGCCGGTTTGAAAAACACTGCGTACAAGGTGTGCACAGAGAATTAATGGAATTGTTAGCGGTGATTGTATGCATAATGTATGTGTTCCCCTGTGCATATATACTAGCGGCGCGTTAATACGCTGATTGCTCTCTACACCGAATGACCACGATGTGTTGACGCGGCGTTTCGCGGTCCAAGCCGTCGCGGTGCGTCGCTGCCAGATCGTTGCTCGGCATAAGTGCGTCGGCTTAGGAGATTACTTAACGCCGCAAAACCTCTTAATGCCACAACGGTAACCACAATGCCGGGAATCCTGATGCCGACGTTTTAAGTATCCACAATATATTGTGTTCTACAGAATTTACGCCAAGCCGCGCTGCATTGACCGCTCATTTTATAACACGCTTGTTTTAACTGTGCCAAAAATTACATACAACAAATTCCCCACGTTTTTCTCTTCAGAATTTTCCATTTTTATAACTGTTTTTACACAACGAAAAATGCAAATAAAAGCCAAACAACATAAAAACAAAATAAAGCTAAAATAAACAAAAATAAACAAAATAAAATGAAAATAAAATAAGAACAAAATAAACTGGAACAAAGACTACAACCAAAAATAAATCTATTAAAATGTAAATAGACACAGAGACCATAGAAATACTCGTACATAAAAAATAATTGAACCAATCAGAATTAATTGCAAATTATTTGGATTAAATTAAAATAATATAATTATAATGGACAATATTCTACCGGATGCCGGTAAGGAGATTGTTAAATAAAATGAAGCGTAATAAACGGGAATTTAAGACGCTGGGGCGCTCTTGGACTCTGTCTCCCCCGCGCTGCTATTTGCCGCCGCCGAGCCCGAGGGCGGGCGGTTAGAGTGGGCCGTGACCTGGGAGGCTTTGGAGGCGCTGTTGCCTTTGCCGTGCGTGATACGGTGGAGGTAGACCGTCATCCAGGGACTCAGCGTGCAGCCTGCAATACAACACCCAATATAGTATTACACAGCATTGATTTGGTATCCCGTGGCAGGGCAATCGGGGTCATGTGTCGGTTGCACACAATCGCCGATTGTCCATACAAATATCCCCTTGCATTTCCACGTCATGTCGACGGCACACATCGCCGGTAAACACACAATTCCCAGCACTACTTCTGTACTAATTAGTAATTACTACGGTAAACCGAAATATTATATTACTGCAACGTTGCGGTTAAAAACAATATTAGTGGTCCTAACCGCGGGAAAAATATTCAGAAAATTGGTTCAAAATTAACAGGATCAACAGAGATTTATATCAAATTAACCAGGATTTATATAACCAAAAGGAAAAGAAAACGCTCTATGAATGTGAACACGTGCCGCAGCAATGTACCGATATAAAGAGTGCGTAGAAAAATCGACAATAAATTCTTTATTTAATAAAAATTACTTAATCAATTTTGACCAGTTTTCATGTCATCAATCCTGGTATACATATTTATAGTTATTTATAGATGCATGTTAAGGACTAGCATATAAAGTACTGACTAAATAAAAAAATATTTTGATAATTTAGATAAATTTCAATACTACTCTGGTAAATTAATCAACTAGTTAATCAATCACGTTTTATTTTTATATTAGGTTACTGAATATTTAAACATTTTGGCGCGTAAAGAAATAAACGAATAACCATAGTTTATTAAATAAAATAATTACTACGTAACGACGCCGTACTGACCGAGCCAGTTGAGGATGCCCATGGCGTTGCTCAATTGCGAGTACATCTCCTCGTAGCGCTGGATGAAGAGCGTGCGGACGGTGACCGGGAGGTAGCAGGCGGAAAAGGTCACGCAGGCCACGAAGGCCACCTTGGTCAGCTTCATCTCCAGCCAGGCGTTCTTCAGGCGCCACAGCGTCTTCTTCCGGCGCGGCGCCGCGGCCCCGCCCTCCGGCACCACCGTGGAGGTGGCGGTGCGGATGAAGCGCGCCCGGACGCGGAAGACCCGGCAGCAGATGGCCGCGTAGCTGACCAGCATCAGCGGGAAGGCCAGCGCCGGCGTGGCCATGCGCACGAACACATGGTAGCCCGGCGAGTGGGTGGCCGCCAGCATGCAGCGGTCCGTCATGCAGTTGTACCTGTACACGTGTAACGGTTCAAATAATGCCGAATTATATGACCGTCGAAGCGTTTAAATTAGACCAACACCGTTTATTAATATCAGCCGTGTAATGGTTAATCACATAATAACGCGCTTAACGCCCATTTCATGATATGCTCATTTTTTAATAACGCTCTGATTAATTATTGTCATATCCAGTTCTTGTACTTATTAATACTTTGATGCAGTCTGAATCTGGTAGATTATATTAGATAATTTAGAGTGAAAATTAACTAATAAATAAAAATTAACCACCAATAATAAACAATTGTGTAAATAAATAAGAGATAAACAAATCACTTGTTACTTGTTAGTAATAAGTACAGAGGAACTAATAATAAATAAATCTATACAATAAAAACAAAACAATTCTTTATCAGTAAATAAACCGATATCCAACAAACTTAGTTATTTAATATTGCCGTTAACTAATTCAAATTTGTAAAATCGAGACAGACCAACGATAGATCAGCAGAAAACTGAGGATTAATAATAAATTAATACTAAATAAATTAAATAAGCAGTCAGGAATATTGTTTTTAAATTAAGCAATAAAATGAACAAGTTATTAGTAAAAAAGAAAATAACAAGTAACAAAAAAGCAAATAATATTTTAAAAATTAAAACAGCGTATGAAATAATAAATTAATAATACATTCAATTATTTAATATACATACATACGGACATACCCCAATTCCGCGCCGATATGCGCCAACGGCCAGAGATTAAACAGCACAGCCTCCGCCCACGGGGCGACCGCCAGCGCCACCAGCACCGCCCGGGACTTCAGTACCGGCCGCCGCGGCGCCAGGACGACGATAAACAACCGGTGCAGCGCGATGACGGCGTGGTACGTCACCGCCGCCTGGGTGGTCACCAGCAGGAGAAACCCGATGGCTTTACACAGCGGCTGATACGCCGGCGTCGCCAGGATATTCCGCGGCCCGGTCAACGTCGTATAAATGTGAAAGGGCAGGACGCCGGCGGACAGGAGGAAGCTGAGGAGCGACATGCCGTCAAACAGGATGTCCATGGATAACGACAGCGACGGTTGCCGGTTGCGGCGCAGGGTGTACGCGCACACCCCGCTGCCGAGTAATCCGCTAAAGGTCACCGGTAACAGCATGAACCCCGTGGTGTAGAAACGCGGGGGGACGCCGGGGGGCGGTAGTGGGCAGAGGTAGGTGGTGTTGTTCATCGTCGAACAAAATCGTATAATGATTGCTCGATAGTCGGCAAAAACGGGAAGTGGGAATATGGGAGCAGGTGGCGCGTAAGGCGAGTCGAGAATGAATTACCGGAACCGTTATATCGGGCGTTTTTTTTTGTTCCGCTGACACCGCTGGATCAGGATACGCTGCCGCGTTTAAGCGGGAAGATAACCCGCGGATTAATGGTACCGGGAAAACCGCAGTGTACAATATGAGCGGGCGTGGGCGGGGCTTACCGACAAGTATAATTCGGGATGACGCGCTACTTTAAACCCGCGTCTTTAATTACGCCGAGTGCAAGTGTACAACTACGTACGTTGACTACAACAACGTCCAATGTATCCAGATTAATTACCGAATCTATTCACTGCAAACTTAGCAAGTCTAATAATTACATAAATTATTAATCATGTCAATCATATACTAAATAAAATATTAAAATATATTTAATTAAGGTATTTATTTTATTAAATACTAATTATTATAATTAGAATCTGCAATATAAAGGGACTATTTAAAATAATTTTTATACATATAAAATGATTAAGTAAATTAAATATTTATTTGTATAACAATATTACGAGGGCGTCATAGAGGGGGTGTCAACCGGCAATTTTTCGGAGTTTGACTCCCCCTGTTTTTCAAAACCGATTGCCCCCCGTCAAAATTTAGAAGAGAACAGACAGAGTAATACTGAAGACAGCAGACAGAGTATGTTTTTCAAAACCGATTGCCCCCGTCAGATTTTGCCCCCCCCCCCGTCAAAATTTGACACCCCCCTTTTGCCGAACCTGTGACGCCCTGACAATATCATTCATATTAAAAAGCTATTATTATCACTATAGGGTTCAGTTCGGTTACTGAGTGTGTGGCTAATCGCTAAATAAACCCCGGCATACAGAATGCATAAGTACTTCCGGTGCATTTGCCACGCAATGCCTGCGTCGTAATATTAGCCACGGTGAGCCGGTGCATCTTATGATTAAGTGGAAACTGACGCGCTGTGACAACTGATAACCAGGACACACAAAGCCCGCATCCACGCCAGCGCGCATTGTCCGCCGGCAAACAATTTGAGCGAATCGGGAATCGGCACACACCGTACTTAACTGATAACACCGCGCTGACGCATCTAAACACACCGGTACTGTTTATCCACCGTACATACATCATCCGCACGTAAAATATCCGTAAAACGAATTATTCCACCGTGATATACACGACGATGCCGATGACTGCGTTATACGCGCATAATTATTACAGCCTAACTGGAACCTTATTTTATCGCCGGTTAATATTACTATCAGTACAGTGCCAGCCCGGCTAATCGGCCGGAAACTGCCGTGCGTTGTTCGCGTATGATAAGCGATACGTTATCTTTATGGTGTAGTAATCATTAATTCTTTCAAGGACAAAAACATATCCGATATACAGCACGCAAGTATTTCACCTGTATACGCAGGCAGCGGTGTGCGCGCTCCACTTCGCCACACATCCGCCGCGTTTACCAGCGTCTCCGTCGTTCGCTTATACAACCGGAAATCCGTGGTTTTTCCTACGTTTATTTTTTACCATTGGTGCGACAAAATGTAACGGACATTCGGCGATTACTTCTCTGGATATTTAATTAATGAATTATTCATTCGGAATTAATCGGCCGCTTAATTATTGTGCTACGTCAGAATGGGCGCGGAGCACCGGAAGGACTCGTTGCATTCCCATTCCGACGCGTCCAGCCATAATGGCTCGCTCGGGCCGAAGACCGGCGATATCCGCATGAAGCGTTTGAACGGTACGATAATTATCATATTTTTTTCAGATTTATTAATGACTTGTGTGGTTCGTCGTTGCGCTGTAATTTCAGCAGAAATATTTCCTTATCGGTGGAATTGTTAAGCAGTCCGATAAGGCGCTCATTAACGGGGCAGCTGATACAGCATTACATTTTACAAGCATCAACAAGTGTGAGCACGTGTGTACAGGCTGTGGCGTGTTTGCAGGCCCGAAAGGCATCGACAACCAGAATTTCCTGGACGATGAGGGCCGCGTCAATGGGCATGTACCGCGGGTGTCGGTGGTCAGCAGCGAGATCGAGGTGGTCCCACCGGAACAGGGCCGCGACGAGGTGGACGCCTGGGAGAAGATGCCGGCGGCGCAGGATGAGGAGGACGGTCCGCCCTGGTCAAGTGCGTATATATGTACAGTGGTATAATTAAAAAAATTAATAAATAGTTCTGTTACACACTTTATATTAAATGACATATTATTACACTTCTATTACATATAATTACATAACTAATAAATCTTTACTTAAACTAAAGATACATCTGTATGTATATGTAATTATATATAGCTTTATATTTATCAGGGATAGGGTATTCTCTGCGTTGTCCCACGTTAGAAAATGTAAAACTTTTTATTTATCCAGTGTACAAGCTTGTATAAAACGATAATTATCAAGTAAATCGTTATCACATTTTCGAGTATGTGCCATGTGGCACAACGCGGGAAATACCGAGTCCCTGGCGTTCGGTACGCGAAATCCATATAGTGAAAATGTTGGGAAAGCGAAAAACGTCGAAATATTTTTGAATAACTCGTACATATGTATTGTACATATACAGACGCTTATATTATTAAGTTAATTATAATATATATAAATGCGAATTAAAAGTAGATATTTACAAATAAGAATAAGTACATTTCCCGAGACCATCAGATATCTTTTAGCAGTATTGTACGGAAGTCGGTACAATTACAAAGTAAGCTCAGTATCCCCGTATGCGCATGTATAATTAAGCGCCATTTGCGCGGAGAAATAAAATTAATACAGTTCCACATTAACATACAATACTTAAACCGTATTTCATCTGTACCCGTATTTATGGATCTGTCTCTATGTACGGCATTTAAATGGCCAGTTTACTGTAACTGTATGCAGATTATATAGGTCTGTTGACGTAGGTTTAACGCCGAAGGAGAAAGCCCTGCGCATCCTACTCAACCTGGCCAAATTCGTCGGCCTCCTGGGTCTCCTGTACTTCTTCATCTGCTCCCTGGATCTTCTAGGCTCCGCCTTCCGTCTGATGGCCGGCCGCGCCGCCGGCGACATCTTCCGCGAGAGCGAACTGCTGGCCAACCCCGTGACGGGTCTGATGATCGGCATTCTGGTCACCGTGCTGCTGCAGAGCTCCTCCACGTCCACCTCCATCGTCGTGGCCATGGTCAGCAGTAAAAGTATGACGACAGTGCATTCTCCTCTGTCTATATGCGCCGTTACGTAACGCTTGCGCCTGGTGATAGTTCTGCGCGTGGAGCAGGCCATCTTCATCATCATGGGCGCCAACATCGGCACCTCCGTCACCTCCACCATCGTGGCCATGAGCCAGGCCGGCGACCGCGACTGCTTCCGACGGGCCTTCGCCGGCGGCACCGTGCACGACATGTTCAACTGGCTGACGGTGCTGGTGCTGGTGCCGGTGGAGTGGGGCACGCACTATCTCTACTACCTCACCGAGGCCATCACCGACACCATGGGCAACAGCAGTGATGTGCAGGTGGGCGAGCTGCAATTCCTGCAGGCCGCCACGCGGCCCTTCACCGACCTCATCGTGCAGGTGCGTTGAACAGCGCTTTCATATCAGGATCAGTTGTATCCTCATATTCCGTGTATACTAACGGGAAATGTAATGTTCAGGTGGATGAAGGGGCGCTGGAGCATTTCGCCGCCGGCAACACCGATGGCCGGGTGCTCAAGACGGAGTGTGGCCTCGAGAACGTCACGCTGTCCAACGGCACTTCAATCAACCAGATCATTCCTTGTACGTACGGCGCTCTGGCGCGGTTAATAAACTTAATATTGTACTGGTCAACTGCACTGTAGTTTAATTGGCTGGCTTGTCGTACAGCTTTAATTATACATGTGCTGATGTACTGATTAAATTATTGTTGTACTAGGCTTTACTGATCAGTGATTGCGTAGTACGTACATCCTGTACGTACTTGCTGAAAAGTAGAGCCGTGCATATCCGCTAACAATGAGCTGTACGAAAAGCAGACAGCCGCATTCGACGCTGTATTAATTAATGCGACATTCGTCGCAACCAATCAGCACATTGCACTCGCATTATTAATCTCGTGGGCTTTCAAACTGAATAGCTGTAGACAACAACGTATGTATGGATTATTTCGCTGTATTTGTCATGATAAATGTCAAGATGTCCGTGGTATGCCGCATTCATGCAGTTAAAATATGAAACCACACTATTTGCAGGTACACACCTGTTCATGGACTCGGGTCTGGAGGACCTGCACATCGGGCTGATCATGCTCTTCCTCTCCCTCTTCATCATCTGCACCTCCCTGGTCCTCCTGGTCAAACTCCTCAGCAGCGTCCTAAAGGGCGCCGTCGCCAAAGCCATCAAAAAGACCGTGAACTACCGACTACCCAAACCCTTCGGCTTCCTCACCGGCTACATCGCCATCCTAGTCGGCGCCGGATTAACCGTCATCGTCCAAAGCTCCTCCGTCTTCACCTCCACCCTGACGCCGCTCGTCGGTCTCGGAGTCATCGAGATCGAGCGCATGTACCCGCTGGTCCTCGGGTCCAACCTGGGCACCACCGCCACCAGCGTCCTGGCCGCGCTGGCCTCCAGCCCCGCCACCTTCCACCAGGCGCTGCAGACGGCGCTGGTGCATCTGTTCTTCAACCTCTCCGGCGTCCTGCTCTGGTACTCCATCCCCTTTATGCGCAAGGCCCCCATCGGGGCCGCCAAGGTCCTGGGCAACACCACGGCGAAGTACCGCTGGTTCGCCATCATGTACATTATCCTCATGTTCCTCGTGGTACCGGGGGTGGTGTTTGGGTTGAGTATGGCGGGGTTCATCTATCTGGGCGTGTTCGGCGGGTTGTTTCTGCTGATTTTCATCGTGGTGATCGTGATCAATATCCTGCAGAGGAAGAAACCCAAATGGTTGCCGCGCTGGCTGCGCCACTGGGATTGGCTGCCGTTGTGGATGCACTCGCTGGAGCCGCTGGACCGGGTCATCCGCGCCATCTTCTCCGTGTGCGGCTGCTGCCGAAATGTTCTCAATCCCGCTGTACAGTAGATTATACAAACCGCGTCTCTTTCCCTGTATCCCATTCACAGCCAATCAAACCGGCCGATTCACCCGGTTGACAAATTCTTTTTTTATCATATAAATGTCTATTATATATTTCCCATTTTTATTAAGATTTTTTTATATGGCATCCGAAAAAAAGAAACAATCGCTCGATGATCGGCGCTATTTGCTTAATACGAAAGGTCACGGCTGAAGTGGATCATCCGTAATCCTCACATCACTGTCCTTAATCCTTAAACCACAGACATTATTGTCCCGCTTAAAAGTGTAACCAGATCCGTATCGAAACCGGTTTTAGTACGTACGCCGTTTCTCATTGCTGATTCGTCATTTTCTAGCGCAACATCGCGCGCGCGTACGCATCGTCAATCATCCATTAAAGCTGTCATAGTGTCATTGAAATTGCTCTTCTCGGCGTACTCTCAACCGGAACCTGAGACGCTTGTTTACCTAAATCCAGCTACGAGCCACTTGTACCCGTACAACATGCACAGCGGGTACAATTAATGCAGCGCAATGCACAACCGGCACATTGCGAATCTGCGCCTGTCTCTCCTGTTCTTTTGGCGGTTCCCCTCTTAAATATTTAACCGCCGGCATGATTGTATACACAACCGGAGATGTACTGCACGTGCATCTCCCATCGACAATCGATTACCTTCGCGTCTTTTGTCCCTTCTCACACAATCCCCGGTACATATAATCGGCTAATGCGTTTGTCAGCGGAAGTTGATTGTATCCCTTGTAGCCGCACAATATCGTCTTGTGATGCTGTTATATATATATATGCACATGTGCGTAACGCTGTTGTCCTTCAACAATCCGCTATTCTCCCACCCTTACAAAACACGCATCGGTATTCACAACATTTTCCCCTGCTCGCGGCTTGTGATGCGTCTGTCAGCGTTTTGTAATTGGCGTTTTTATGCTGCATCGGGAATTAATTAAGCATCGCGTTGCCGTCGTTTATTTAGACATTTCTGCGCCTCGAAAAATAATGCGACGGTTATTTATGTTGTGCCGGCTGAGTATGCAGTTATTTTATCAACCCATCAGTGATTCGGTTTAACTAAGTTTGTCGTCTAGAACGCGGTAAAGTTCAGCTATAACCGGGTTTAATTATGCTGTGGTAATCATTCTATCCATCGATTAATCGATTAACCGGCATTTACACTATGATCCGACTGATGATGCGCAGCTGCTGCCGTTCCCAGCATCACACCACCGTGCGATTTTGAAGGGATACCCTTTAATCCCTCCACCATCTAGCCTCCTGCGCCCACCAGAAGTCGACCTGATGTATGTTGTTACATACTCGTAGTGCAAGACTACCGATTCCTAATGAGACTTTACTTCCAAGTTGTTTCTAAGTCGAACGAATCGTCGTGATTTTGCAAGAACATACCAGCTATGAAATATGCATCAGAAATCATCTTTGAATTGGTCTGTTGCATAAGGTACTCGTGATTACCCATCACACAGCAAAAATGCCGGTCTTATTCATGCTGGCGGCCAACCGCACCAACACCACCCTCCCCGGCCCCGTCGACAGCGTGACCCGGGAGGTGGTGACCCTCCTGATCGGGGCGGCGATTTCCCTGTCCAACGCCTTCAGCCTGGCCGTCTTCTGCCGCACCCTGCACCGCCATCCCACCGTTCTGTGGTTCCTGTCGCTCTGCTGCTCTGACCTCCTCTTCGGCCTGTGCTGTCTCGTCCACCTCCCGGCGCTGCTGGTGCTCGGCCGGCCCTTCCCGCCCATCACCTACCCCACCGTCCTCCTGGCCACCGTGACGGCCAACATCTCCCCCTGCAGTCTGGCGGTGCTGAGCGCCGACCGGTGGGCGGCGGTGGAATTCCCCCGGGGGTATCTGCAGCATCTGGCGGGGCCCGGTCCGCACCGGGCGCTGTGCGCCGGGCTGTGGGGGTACTTTGCCGTCGGGGCGGTCATCTGTGTGACGTGTATGCCGGTGGTGTTCGTCCATCTCCCGGCTATCAACAGGTTGGCCAACTTTTATCTCAAAAAATCAAACCAAAGAACTAGTCGTATATAAAATTTTATATAGAACTATGTAAGTTTGACTCTAACAAAGATTCCAATATCCTGGTGAAATATCTCCGCTGATGAAGTTTGATTATTCTCTTGTACCTAATAATAATAACTTTTCCATTTATTGTTTAATAAGATACATGGCACCAAATCGTGTACTGGCCCACATTCGTGTACTGCACACGTGCGTTTTGCTTTCTCGCAGAGCCTTTTTTGTATATTGATTTGATTCATTGATTTGATTTGTTGTTTTGCTTTATATCATTCTGTTGCCATATGGTTTGTAAACATTGCCGTAAACACTCTTTGGGCACGCATCATCTCGTTGACGGTTTATAAGTAAAATAAGTTACCAGAAAATTTAAACGCATTCAGGTGTACTAGTGCCAAACGTACCTTCAAATTTTCACATAATTATACGCACAAGTCGTAGTCGTAGTCGCACGCACAAGTCGTTTCACATTTACATACGAAGTTTGAATGCCTTTTCTACATCGAACCAGAATTACTTACCTTAAAATGGATTTAACAGTGATTTCTGAACCTCTGTAGAAAATTTGCAGCAAATCCTGGTTCGGTGTAAAAGCAGTTCACGTACAATCGGTGTCTGGCCAAATGTACGAGTACACAAATCATCTGGCTACAGAATGTCATCAAAACAGTTGTTATCAAAAATGTTTCGGTAGTACTAATAATAACTGCAAATGCAGCACCTTCCTGGCGACCTGGTCGACGTGGTACTCGGACTGGTTCTTCGCATTACCAGTACCGCTGGCCAGCGGCGTACTACTGGTCACCCAGCTGCGGCTGGGCTATCTCGCCGGCAAATGGAAATACCAGCGCCTGCTGCGCCGGAAACGCTCGGCCTCGTTGCTGCTGAAACTGCAGGCGGCGCATCCCCACATCACCATCATCTCGCATCGATCCCGGCTGACAACCGGCACCGGCAGCTCGTCCGCGGAGAGCACTCTCGTCGTGGCGCTGACGGATGCGGAGCGGGAGCACGGTGAGGCGCGTGCCTGGGTGTACACGGCCGGCGAGGGAACACCGGCGGGGAAGGGCGCTCTTTCCGGTAAGCGGCTGTCAAGGGCCGTTAGAAGCGGCACTTGCGGCCTGTTCACTGTAATGACGGCGTCTTCATTTCGGTAATCCCGTCAAGCGCCGTTTAATGCATTTTGCCGGTGTCTCGCTCAATGCAGCTGCGCTCTATAGAGCGCATCGTCAAAAAAAAAATTTACATCTGCCTGGTTTCGAGTATATAGCTATATACTCGAAACCAGGCAGATGTAATTACGTTCGATTCCATATATGTATTTTTTATCAAAATTTCGATGCGCTATGCTTTAAAGTCGATCGTCGCCTGTCATTTTTATACGCAAAACTTCCGTACAGCACAGATTTATATCGAACAATAATTATGAATTATAGAATATTAACTTTACCTGCATTTGAATTAATTTCCTTGAACACTGAGAGGAGTGAATTTGTCATTGTGGGTGGCGCAGTGTAGTATCATGCTAAGCGCAAATTTGGCGCTAAATTACTACGTGCTACGAGTAATTTACGTTAGAAATGACGGGACCAGCTTGTAGACTGTTATTTCTAATACCGTACAAATAAATAATCTGAAATAGAGTATAACTGGGACGATGTAGGCATGCGGACGATGTGGCAGCTGCGGCGCACGGTGGTGGTGGTGTCGGCGAACGTGCTGATCTACCTGCTGAGCCAGCTGCCCATGTTCATCGTGCTGCGGCTGGAGCCCTCCCCCGGACCGGGTCCCTACCGGGTGCTGCTGCAGCTGGCCACCTACCTGACCATCGCCAGCCACCTCTGGCCGCCCTTCATCACCTACTCCACCTCGCTGCTCTACCGCCAGCAGGCCCACCAGCTCCTGGCCAGCGTCCTCCTCCACCGGCGGAATAACACGTAAACCCTACTTTAACCGGGTAAATCGGCTCGGTGGCATGCGTGGAATTGGCGTCCAGCTAATGTACGGTCCTCCGTACGCGTTGCCAAGACGGGTACCCAGGCACATTGTTCAATACGGCGTCGAACCCTTTAATTTTGTATTCGTGATTGATCTCCTTTAATTGATTAGCTCTATTTAGAACGCGATCGATCTTGTGGCGGCAGTTGAAATAACGGCACTTAATACTGGTTTGTGTACGTACGTTACAGCAAGCATCACAAATCTGCATATCTTAATTACGGCTAATTTATTGCGTATCCTTCATGATCATTATTTTTTTATGCACGATCGACTCAGTTTATACAAGTACTTATCTGCAGTGATTCTGCACGAACACGACTATATATAGATATGCATCTGTACTTTAAGTATAGCGATAAATTCATATGTAATAACATTCTTTGTTTTCCTGAAAATATCTCCTAATTCGCGACCAACCGCTACGGTGTTACCATTCTCGGGTATTACGCGCATAGTACAGCCACATTTTTCTCTTTGCTTCCCAGTGACTTCACAACTTCACACCGTGGTCCAGGTTATGCTGGATACCGAAAACTTTTTATCGTTTATATTCATGCGTTTATGCAATGTTTTCGTTAATAATGTACCGTTATACAAAATTTACACGGTACACAGAACATGTACAATCACTTACCTGTTAGTTTCGCTTAATTTGCGCACGATATTTAACCGACACCGTATTTACGTATTGCTGCGTCATTTTTGGGAAAGAGCCATCTTTGCAGATTTTGTAAACATTTGACTGGAACATTCGTTGTCCAAAAATTGTTAATCCTACCAATCCTACGTAATAATTGTGGTGCCTCATCACCGCGTGTTGCATGTACGTTGCATGCGGCACGCACAGGACCGGAAATAGATTATAATACGGTATATATTATCAACTGTATAATCCTTATAATTATCACGGTGCTTCGACTGAAATCATAAAAATGTAGATATAATAATTATAATATTATCTATACGATCCTGCATGTTGTATTCTGCAAATCACAGACAACACATACAAGTACAAACTTGTACGATACTTGTATATTGATGCTAACTGTAAGTGTCAGTCATACTGTACACAGTACAGATACATGTATCTGTATACTTAATTTAGAATGAAATTATTATTTCCATAAAATTTGTGTACACCATACCTGTCGATAATACCATATTCGTATTAATAATCCTTTTATTATTAGATAACTTACAATTAATAGATCTGAACTACGTATCAGGCAGCTGCATGGGCACAAAAAGCCGTAGATTGAAATGTTGTAGATTTTAATATGCAATCAGTGCTTCCCTAATAAATTGCACTTATTTATAACTATATAGATACAATGATAAAATTCCTCTTTATATAGTTAGAATCCACATGTATTGCGCTTACTATACAGTATAGAGCCAGTACAGATCCTTAAAAATAACTGACAATACCATGTACTGTAATATATAACAATAGTACTGCATGATTGCATCCATGTAAAAAGGTAAAGGCGCTGCGTAAAATAAAATTATTACAAAATTGACAAAATAATAGAGATATGTATGTACTTAATTACGAAGCTAGAAGTGCGTAGTGCATGACAGTGATGACATGATGACAGTATCTGCCAGAAATATGAGAAAAATTCGCTTTGACAGATTTTTTCCATAAATGATTTTAATTTTCAGAGTGGCGGTACGAGTACCAAACATTCAAAAGTTATAACAGCTGTAAAAGCAATACTGCAGAGTAACCCTGCACTTGACAGCTTTTTCGTACGATATGAGCTATACGGCACTGTAGTACTGACAAACGTTCAGCTGGCTCAGAGCCGACTGCACTGCTCTCACATGTGCTGCCTGCCTAGTCACAGGCAACACATGTGAATGGTGAATGTGCTCGTACAACGTACGTCTCTCTGGGCTGTAAAAAAAGCTGTCAAGTGCAGGGTTAAGGCCTATTTATACTTCACTTCAGTCACGTTTTTCTTTACGTCCGTCAGAAATGCATTTTATGTACGTCCTAATGAACGTACGAAAGAAAACATGGACATAACATAAAACGGTGCTAAGATCCGGCTTATGTCACGGGCATTCAAGAAGCGGCTTTCTGGTTATACTCCAGAAGTCACGTTCGTCAAAAACTCAAATTTTGTGCCAAAATTAAATTTCTGAAAATTTCAAATCGTTTTGGTATCCTGAACTTTTTCCTGCTTGGAGCAAAAATGGTTGCCTATGATGCCACTGTTTTCAAAATTCTTTCCTGGTTTTGGGAATTGCGTTTCTCTTAGCCCGAAGGCGTTCTCGATCGAAAAGCGAAGGTTACCGAGACGACTGTATATGCGAAAATTTTACAAAGAGCGAGCTGCAAAACTGAACTGAATACCATGGTAAACGACCTGCGTTCTGATGATCCCGAACTTCATTATGAGCATTTTCGGATGACCAAGGAACGTTATCAGCATTTGTTACAACTGGTGGAGAAAGATTTGACCCGGAAAAAAACCCATCTAGTACCAATTACTCCTGACGAGCGGCTTGGGCTTACACTAAGGTTTGTCTGTGGTTCTTTAACACACTTGATGAGCGTACTTATTTCCTTTTTTTCGCAGCATTTTAGTTGATGGTGTTCCGCAAAGTAGTATTGCGCGGCGATATCGAATGTCTAAAAGCTCTGTCAACATTATTTTCGCGAAACCTGCAAAGCGATTTGGGATAATCTGGTTGAGGAATATGTGTCACCTCCAACAACGCATTTATGGGGAGAAATTGCTGTGCGCTTCTGGAACAAGTGGCAGTTCCCGAACTGTGTTGGAGCGATCGATGGCAAACATGTCGAAATCACAGTGAGTTTAGTAGGCCATTATGCTAGTATATAAAACTATATAATATATTAAGTACTATTTACAACAGTAAAAAATCGTCACTACAATACGATATATATAATTATATATATCATATATACTACATCTGTACAAGTGAAATGTTGTTACAGGCGCCAAATAATTCCGGATCGAAGTTTTCAATTACAAGGAGTACTTCTCTATCGTATTACTGGCATGCGTAGATGCTGATTATTGTTTTCAAATTGTGGATATCGGCGGCTACGGTCGGCAGAGTGATGGTGGTACTTTTGCTGCTTCGGCTTTGGGCAAAGCTCTGGACGCCGGCGAGCTTGGTCTCCCTCCTCCGCAGCCACTTCCTGGAACAGAAGTCCCAACACCGCACTTATTTGTAGCGGATGCTGCATTTCCACTAAAAGAAAATCTAATGCGCCCATACCCGGAAAAGAATCTGGACGATGCCAGCCGAATATACAATTACCGGCTAAGCCGAGCAAGACGCATCCTAGAAAATGCCTTTGGCATTTTGGTGAATCGTTGGCGCATTCTGGCTTGTCCACTCCAGTGTGACCCCGAAACTGTTGATATTATTATCAAAGCTACCGTGGCACTACATAACTATTTGATACGCACAGAGCAGACTGCTGCCGTAACTAGCCGGAAATACAACCCTCCCATGTATTCGGATCTCATACAGGAGGATGGGTCAATTTCGGAGGAGCCTGGAGACAGGGAATAAACCCGGACCAATCTTTGTTTCGACCACAGACGTCAAACTATTCGAATCGTGCCGCAACTTTACCCTTCAAATTCGTGATTGTTTGCGAGATTATTTTTAAGCGAGCAGGGTAAAGTCTCCTGGCAAGAACGTATGGCACTTGGGCGGAAAAAGTAATACACCATGGTTTCTGAGTTTTTTACTAGCAACGACATCAAGGTTGGTTGTAAATAAGCCACGAAACATTTGCAATTACTTATTATCCTACTTACGGCTACCTGTGCAATGTATATCAGCGTGCTAATACTGTACTTATTAAAGATAGAAACCATAACAACAAATGCACATTTAAACTTTTAACGATAAGCAATAACCAACAAATTATTTGTTAAAGCCCACCTCCATCTACCTTTGTTAAACTCCATCTACCTTCTACTGGCGTAATTAGTATAAGAGAAAAGTCGAAATGAAATTAGTCATCCAGTTCTGACATTTGGTACTCGTGGAGCAAGTCCAACACCCTTTTTTTAAGCTCCAGTTGATTGCGAGGGCGCAGTTTGACAACTGATGCCTTTACTAAATCACCTAAAAACAAAATTTTTTTAACATGATGTGTCCGCTTTTATGATTATTATAGTTTTTTACATCACTTTGCCTACTTACACCAGCTATTCGTTTCCGAGTCGGTGTTCTTGTTTGAGTCCAAATGTGTCCCCAGTTTATCGACATAGCTTAGAAATGCAGCTTCCAGCTTATCTTCAGTTGCCACCTTAGACAGTTCGTTTCGGGACTTTTCGGCGTTGGGGTAGATGCTGGTTGCGATGAAACGTTCTCTTCGCCGACTGGAGTGTTTGCTATAAAGCTGGTAGCTTCCAGAACCGTTGTGTCTGAGCTTTCCGGTTCATTTTCCAGGCGCCGTTTAAGATTGGTTGTGGTTCTGAATAAAATTTAAATAATATTATATTAAAAATTCAAATAACGCAAGATATGTACAAAAATAAATATGCCGTACTGTATAACTAAACCAATGTAAATAAAAAATGTTTGTATGCTTACTTGCGGGTTTCTTTTACCGGTCTCAGGAATTCCATTTCTTGAAAATACTGCCAGGCTGGTTCTTTCTTTTTCTTCCCTTTTTGGTTTGCTGCAGATCCGGTCGGGAGCTTTACCGGCTTCGCCATTTCTTTCAGCAGCTTCGTATAGTAGTCCGTAAGCTGCGTCCATAGTTTTTTGCAAACCTCAGCTACGACAAAATCAATAAAAGAGATCAAGATAACATGCTTAATATTATAAAACATGGAATTAAAATAAGATTACTTTAGATTATGAATGATTGTCATAATGTGGTCACAATAATCATGTATAATAACCGTATATCATTAAAAGTCCCGTTTAAAATAATACGGAAACCGTTTTACCTGGATCTCCAATGGCCGCTGACACCTCCTCCCACAACAGCTTTTTCATACTCCTCGTGATTTGTATTCAGCGTGCGAAGTATCCCAAAGAGCAGGTCGTTTACGCACTTCTTTGATCAAGAACTCCCTTTTCATATCGTCGTCGGCTGCTTTCATTTCTTCTCGTTGTTGCTCCTCATCAAAATCTTCGTCGCCCAGCGTGGTCATTTTTCAGAAGTTGTGAAAACGTGTTATAAAAGCGTGTTATATAAAAGTCGATGTTTTAAATATAAAGTCGATCGAAATACCTAATACAAAAGCCGGCATAAACTGCGCTGCGAGTACTTGCAAACTTTCGGAACCTTCGCGAATCTTTTGCGAGAATAAAGAAAGACGTGTGCAGAAAAACAGAATTTGACGTCCGTCAACTTGAAAAAATAGAACCAGTTCTATTTTCGAATTTTGACGGACGAAACCGGATTTTGACGTCCGTAAAGTTGACGGAACTAATTTCCGGACACTGTCCGGTTATGTGTTTATACTTCCCAACCCAGTCACGTGCACTGTGACGGAGATGTGAAAGTGTGTATACTCGTGAAAGTTTATCAGTTCCGTGAGATGTGACGGCCTTACACCCAAGTATAAATAGGCCTTTACTCTACAGTACTGTACATGTACGAGGTACATAAACAGAAAACATCCATCACGCGGCTCAGTCTCACTGGGCGCCCGCACCGGGTGGCCGGTGTCGCCGTGCCACCGCATGTAACCGCTCGGCTCACTACACCACCAGTGAAAACTGGGTCTGCGTCGTCTGCAGACTGCAGTGCACGTTGTTTACCAGTTTCCAGTTTTATCGACTTTTTCACTGACAGTCTCCCCGTTTTCTGACGTTTCCCAGTTCCTGATCTTTCTTACTCCTTGTTGTAAACGTTGAGGAGTGCAAGTGTTCCCAGTGCAAACGGCACGGGAATCCCGTCGGGTGATTGTTTTTACGGAGAATCCACGAACTGATCAGTACTGCAGTATGGCGACGGTGCTGTACTGTGTGTGCCGTAGTGCTGCGTCGGATCGCTTCATGATGTAAGTGGCCCGTCTGAGCGGGGCCCCCCTGCCCTGTTTCGCCCCTTCTCCGCGTTGACGGCGGTGTGTTGCGTGGTTGCAGACAGTGCGACAAGTGCGAGGAATGGTTCCACGGGGATTGTGTGCGCGTCACGCAGACGGAGGGGAATCGCATCAACAACTACTTCTGCGCCACCTGCCAGGGTTCGTGCCTCAAACCTATATCTGCCATTTCACTTTCCAGTGCTTTTGATTTAGTTGGCAATTTATTTCAACAATTATTCCCGTGTAGCAGTTTGCATACGGGTCTTTGCTGTGGTATTTGACTGTGTAGTTGATTTTCTAAGTTTTTGATTTCAGATTTAGCGTTTTTAGCAGGGTTCTTCGATTCTACGAGCTGTTGTTTATTTTTTTACTGGTTTCTAACCTGGAATGCGGCTGCTTGTTTAATTCGAATTAATTTTATTTTTAAATCGCAGGTGAGGTTTACTGGAGAGGATTTACTGTTTAAATGATTAATTTTCGAATAAATTTTTATTTTGAAGGATTTAATTTTTTTAAAAAGCCACTGGTTTTCGGGTATTTTTATGTTAATTTTGAGAAGCCCGTTAAGGAATTTTTTCCTGCAAGTTTGGTTGAAAAATTTAAGAGCGTATCCGACTATCCGTACATGAATCGATTGAAGATGAAAAATATGCGTACTGCCGTAGCGCTGTAGCGCGCCCCTAATATTTACGTACTGCATAGTGCATATCGATATAGCCGATAAATCCGATTGCGTGTGCATGTATAGCCGACATATCCGGTTGCGTGGGTGTTCGTTGACATCGCTGCCGCGCTTTATCCGTTGTGCACTGCACAGATAGCATCTCCATTGTTTCGCTGAAATAATTTAAATCCTCTTGTAAATTCCAAGAATACTAACGGATAACGCTGCTATCGAAAATCACTGAATTCACTGCTTTAAATTTAGCTAGATAAATCTAGAAATTTGTGTAAAAAGGCCAAAAATACCCCATGCAAAGTTGGCGTGTGGTGAATATTTTCTTTGTAAAATTGTCGTTTTTTTATGGCAAAAATGCCTCCATTTCGGTCGTCGCGTAATAAAAGCCATATTTCACTAGAAAAAGACCCCTCCCTGAAGATCACCTACAAAGCGACGAAGAAGCGCAGCTCGGAGAAGAAACCGCGCAAATCCTCCTCCAAGAAGGAGCCCAAGCGCACGGCCGCCTCGCCCCCCGCCGACGCCGCCGCGCCGCGCCCCGCCCCCGAGGCCGGGCAGCCGGGGGCGGCGGGCGGACCGGGGAACGGGCCGGCCAGCACCTCCGTCTCCGCGTCGGACGCCGAGGACGACGGGGACTGGGAAGCGGCCGGGGCGGGGCCCCCCGCCGGCGCCCCGCGGAAGGGCCGCGCCTCCGTGGAGCACAACGGCGCCGTCGCGGTGCGCCGTCCCGCCAAGGCCCGCAGCAAGACGCCCAAGGGGAAGGGCAGTCCCGCCGGCAGTCCCGCCAAACCCGCCGGGGGGAGGAAGACGCCGGCCAAGGCGGCCGCCATCGCCCGGCAGTCCTTTGAGAATACCAAGCAGTCGCGGAATTTGGCGGTAAGTCGAATTGTAGAATTAAAACTGATTTAAATAATAGTTTATCCGTATCGTAGAAAATTGCTGGATAAATTTGCAGTATAGATTTATAAAAGATTAGGGCATTCGGACGTGCTTGTGCAACTGAGCAGGGAAAAAATGCAATAAACATAGCGTAGAAGTTAAAAATATAACAAAATATACGGAACAGTATAGCAGAATCGAAATATGTGTTTTAGTGCTATTTTATAGGAAGTGTAAGATTTATTTAAGTAATAACTATCAAAAAACCGAAATGAATTGAATAGGAGTTAAAAATAAATATCAGTAAAAATTTATAGAAATTAGGCAACTGGAAAATAAATTCAGAAAATAAATTGAAACTGAAAAACAGAAATAAATAGCAATAAAATAAAAATTTTAGTTAATGATTTTGATGGTCTGAAGAAGAAAATGCGTTTTTTTGACAGTGTGTGGAAAAAAGTCAACCGTTTGTTTTTAGAACAGAACAGAAAAAATTCAAAACAAACAATTCCGATTAGAAAATAGATACTGTAATTTAGGAAGCATAGAAATACATGGATAAATAATGTAGGAAGCATGGAAATACGTGCGTAATGCATAAATAATCCGCATGAACAATTCAGCCATCAAGAAAATACGTGACAAAAAATAGCAAAAATAGTAGGAAAAATATCCCCGGCACCGTGAACGGCAAAAATAACAAGCGAAAACTGTGGGTGCGTGGTGGTGTGTGGGGCGGGGCCGGGCTAGACGGGTGTGAGTTGAAGCAACCAACCGTAACCTTGACTGCAGGAAGTGGAGAACGCCCTGGCGCACGGGATCCCGCCGCCGCTGCCGGTGCCGCCCGAGGTGGGCGCCATCGAGCAGGCCGCCTTCGCCGGACCGGACCACCCCAACTGCAAGGTGGGGGGCGCGCTCACGGGCACGCTGCTCGCGCTGTCTTGTCAAACTCTTATTCTCGCTCTCACTTTTCTCTCACCGCTCGCACCCCCCGTCTTGTCCTTGCACGTGACGAGTGAACTAACTGTGCATGCCTCACGCTTGTCTGGTTGTGGTTATGATGGTAATAATTGGAGTGCGGGTGTGGCGGTGTGTGTTGCAGAAGAAGGGCGCCGGGAAGAAGGCCAAGGCCCCCGTGAAGGCCGTCACGCCGCCGCAGGCCGCCGTGGTGGCGGGCGCGGCGGCGGGGGCGGGGCATGCCGAGGAGGAGGAGGGACGGGAGTTTGCCGGGTTCGACCGGAAGAACATGAAGCAGTGTCTCGGACCCAAGTGCTGCTTTGCCGCCGCGCCCAACTCCAAGTACTGCTCCGAGGAGTGCGGACGATCGCTGGCCGCCAAGTAAGCTTTTCTCATTTTGCAAGTTATGTATTAAATCAATTTCGTTTGAATTAAACTGAATTTCTGTTCCATTTAAAATGATTTTCCATTAAATTTCCCGTTTTTTTTTGAATTTTATTTCTGTACTGTTTGCCGAGGAATGCCGACGATCACTGGCGGCCAAGTAAGCTTTGCGAATGTTGCAGATTATATTTTTATTTTATTCAGTAAATTTTGATTGAATTACAACTGATTTTAAAAATTTAAACACTTTCAGTTAAGTTTCCGTTTTTTTTATTTTATTGCTTTACTGTTTGCCGAAGAGTGCGGACGATCCCTGGCGGCCAAGTAGGCGTTACGTCGTTTTTTTTTAAAAATCGGCTAAATTAATTTTTTAATTCAGCTTGAATTTTATTCGCTTTAAATTGTGAGTCAATTAAATTTTCATTAAATTTCCCATTATTCCATTTCAGCGCTTACTGTATATTTCTAATGGCTTCGTAATTTCTTGATTTGGTTTGATTTGAAAGTTTTCAATTTGACTAACCGCAGAAAAATTCTGATTTGATTAGATTAAAATAAATTTGCTCTAATTGAACTCTGATGAAATTTGAATGAAATTAAATCCATGTAATTTCATTAAATTTGAATAAATTAAACTTCAAGTTAAAAAATAAACCAGTAAATTAACCAGTTAATTTTGACTTCATTTATTGTTTATTTGCACGGTGCAGTCTTTAATCGAAATTAATTGAAAAATAAATTTCAACATGGCGTTTAATTCTGGTTTTCTTTTGTAAATTTTCTTTGCTGTTTGTTTCTTCCGTGCAGCACAATGTGATGGGAAATTATTAATTAATTATTTCCCACAATGTGATGGGAAAATAGCGATTAAATGATGGGAAATAATTACTGGGATAATTATGTGGTTCATTGGCAGGCGTCTGATGACGATCATGCCGCAGCGTCTGGAGCAGTTCGGTCAGCACACGTACGCAGCCACCCTGCTGAACCAGAAGGACATGGACGGGATCCGCAAGAAGCTGGCCGACTGCAAGGTGATGCTGGAGAAGCTGCAGGCGCGCAAGGCCCACCTGGAGGCTGACATGCGATTAGGGAAGCGCACCCCGCCCGCCGCCGACCAGGAGGCCGAGGAGGACGCCGTCAAGGACACGCAGGACACCTCCCTCATCTGCATCACCTGCGGCCGTCTCGTCTCCATCCGCACCGCCCTCAAGCACTTTGAGGGCTGCTCCAACAAGGTAACCTGTACTTTGGAATATCCTCGTATTTATTGCCATTGATTTTAGCGTTAATGTCGTAGTGTAGTGGCTAAACGTATATTTTGTCTGATTATTCTTATCTCTGGTGAGGCTAATCTTTGGAATATTTTCGTGTTTATTACTGTTGATTTTAGTGTTAATTTCGTAGTGTAGTGGCTAAACGTATATTTTGTCTGATTTTTTCTTGTCTATGGTGAGGCTAATAATTAGTCAGTAATTCTTTATGGTGCAGGAGCGCTGCCGGTCCCAAGAATATTTTATCGGAATTGTAATTTTTAATGCTGAATTTACGTAGTAGCATCTATTTCAGAGTTGACTAGTTATTATTCTGTTTTTTTTTTCGCGGTTCATCATGTAATAATTGTGGATTTATTATTGCGCAATCGTAGCGTTGGTTGAATTTGTAACCGTATGCGCTGCAATAATTAATATTATTTTTTGGGGTAATTTGAAGCGGTTTATCGGTTGCTGGTTTCTTGTTACGGAGCCAATAATTGTGAAAGAAAATCAAAATAATAAAAAATTCAGTGAAAATAATGAAATAAAAATAAAATCAATAAGTGTGAAAAATTTAATAAAATCAATAATTGCGAAATAAAATCAAAATAATAAAAAAAATCAGTCAGAATGCTAAAAGAAAACTAAAATCAAAAAGTGCGAAATAAATTCCGAATAAGAAAAAATCCAATAAAATACTGGAATAAAAATGTAATAAAATGCGTAATAATTAAAATCCGCGTGTGTAAGAGAATGTGTAATAAAATGTGATTGATTGGCGTGAACAGTTGGAGAACCAGACGTCGTACGGGTCGGCCTTCATCACGGCCACCTCGTCCAACATCTTCTGCGACACCCTGAACCCCAAGACGATGACGTACTGCAAACGGCTGAAGGTCATCTGTCCGGAGCACTACAAGGAGGCCGTGGACGAGCACGAGGTGTGCGGCTTCCCGCTGACCGCCGGCGACGAGGAGGCCGGCGGGGAGCGCCGTTTCTGCTCGCTCTTCAAGAAGAACTGCCCCAAGCATCCCTCCTGGGAGCGCATCAAGCAGGCCGAGATCGATCTGGAGACGCTGCGCACGGTAGGCAACGGGATAGGGCGGCTGCACTGGCGACACTACTTGTTGTTATTTATTATCCTGTAAAAACTAGAAAATATTAGTGAAAAATGGGAATTAATGAGCAGGCGTCAGTGAAGAAATTTCCAGGTTAACAGATTTTAAATGTTCATAATTGGAAAATGTCGGTAAAAAATAGGAAAATGTGGAGAAAGACAAAGTTATAAACAAAAACACAGGTAACAGTAAATAAAAAAGGTGTACTGTAAATTGGTAAAAAATGAACAAATGTAAATGTGGGTAAATAGAAAGGTCATTTTAAAATTTAAAAGTGTTAAATGAAGCAATAAGTAAATGGGGAAAATTCAGTAAAAGAGTGCATTAATAAATGAAAAATGCAAAAACAGTAAAAATCAAAATAAATTAGAAATCAAAATAAAAATCAAAATAAATTAAAAATCAAAATAAAATAAAAATCAAAATAAATTAACAGTACTGGTAAATAAGAAAAAATTAAGAAAGAAGTAAGTTATTAATTGGTGGATTTTGTTGTGTGTAGTGGATAAAAATGGACGAGCTGGTGGAGCAGGAGCGCATGATCATGGTGGCCATTCAGTCGCGCGGCGGCATCTTCCACTGCATGAGCAACTACACCCTGCCCGTCCGCCCGCCGCACCCCGCCCCCGCCGCCGCCCCCCTGCCCCTGGAGCGGGGGGAGGGGCCGCGCGAGCGCAAGGCCTCCCGGGGCCACAAGAGTCCCGCCAAGGCCCTCAAGGCCGCCCCCTGAAGGCGGGCGACGGGCAGCGACAGTATTGGGCCGTTTCCTCGTTCGTGTGGTGCTAAGCGGGTGTATAAGTGTGTACCGTTTCATCTTCGCTTTATTTACTCGGGTTTGCTTGCTGTGCAAGTGATGGTTGAGTTCTTTTTTATTTCTGTGCCACCCACTGGCTAAACATTTTGCTGCGGTGTATGGGGGTATTTTTTGACATGAACTTTTTATCTTCTCTTATCGCTGTATTACTGTACTGTATCTGACCATAAACGGGAAAAAAATAAACGGGTATCAACAAAACTGAAAACGATGAGACACGGATTTGTGATTTTGCAGTGAAATCCTATTATTTACTAGGCGTATGGCACAGAAAAATTAAAATGACAGTACACTGACACAATGAGATCAATATCTTATAAATTTTACATCAATTAATTTGCGGTTCACAACTTCACATCGATGTTATTTTGCCAATAATAATTTTTGATTATATTTTTACTGTTATTCGGCAATAGCCACTTCATAGAATAAAAAGCCAGCGCTGGTACTTACATACTAAATAAAACGATAGAAATTTAACCGTTAAAAAAACACCATGATCATTGTTGTTGTTGATTATACTTAATATTACATAAATAATCACTTCCAGATCGTACCGTATCGCGAGGTGAATGACCAGCCATTTAACATGCAAGTAAGCAATTCCGCAGATTGCCCAGGGCTTTTGATTTCGTTTGCCTGCCCAGGGTAGCTGGGCTGCTGAATTGTGCAATGCCGCACGTGGCAGAGCAATGGCCGCATTCCAACATATGCGAGTCGGATTTTTCTGAGAACAGCTGATCAAAATTCATAAGGGGTAAGTACTGTACTCAGTGTACTGTTTTTACCAGCCTTGTGATTGGTCGCGACTGTTCAATTCCTGTGCCGCTGTGCTTGTACGTACAAGCAAAGTCGCGTACAGCGCGGCTGCGGCGCGCTGTACGCGTGCGCATACGCTCGTACAGCGACTTCCGTGCGGATATGCGCAGCGGCGACCGTGCAGCGTGTACACATCGCTGCGTACACTATCGCGCAACACCCGGGGCAATTTATCCGCCCGCGTGCAGCCGACCGAGTTGCCTCGTTGCGGCTGCGAGACGCCAATCATCAGCACACCGCATTTCATTTTCATCCAAGCAACTGAACCGAAAATCTTTGGGCTGTCTGAGCCTGTCTCATCGGGAGAAGCCAGTTCGTCGTGTTTCGTGCGGGTTTTTGGGGTTTTGGCAGCGTCCATCGGGCTGCTTCGTGGTTTTCCGTGATTCTTGTGTGTGTAAAGTTTCGGTTTTCTTCCTAGTCCATCTCAGGTACGTGGATTTGAAGTTTGTAGAATTATTTTGTGGTAGATTGCTGCGTAGAGAGCCGCGGTGATCCGTCTGGGTCCTCCGCGGAAAACCGGTTTCCTCGCTGCTGTTTCGACTTTTTCCCGTTGATTTTGTAATAGAAAATTCACAGACTGTTTATAGGTAATTAATCAGCAAAATTTTTCCGTGTAACTGCTAGTGATTTTGCGAAAATTCAATTTGAAATGAATAGGAAGATTACGGCTTGGGTCGCCGCCGTATAATGGGATTTCCCCAATGTTTTTTCTTTTCCCTGTTCTTTTTTCAATTTAACTGCGATGTGATCAGCATGTTGATAGTGTGGAACATGGACAAGAGCGACAGCAGCGGCAGTTCCGATGGCGAAGTAGTCCATGTCGGCGGCGTCATCCAGGTGCCACCAAAGTGGAACGGTGTGGGCTTCCGTGTGTTAGTCCGCGGTATCCCGGTCGGGGTCAGTGACCACCAGGTCACCCAGGCCTTGAATACCTTCCCGAAGGTGGGCAACGTCAAGGAACTGTGGATGTCGACCAACAGCGACTCGCCGCGCTTCGGCTTTGTGGTCTTCGAGGTTAAACGGGATGCGGAGAAAGCCGTCGACGAAGGGCTGGCTGTGGGCGGCACACCGCTGGATGTTTCATGGTCCACAGTTCGGATTATAATCGGAATTGGTAAGTAAATGTTTATTACCATAAATCACACGATTTTTCTTTAATAAATAATAAATCGCAGATTTTCTGGTTTTTAATAATTTTTTTTTCTTCGAATGTTTCTGGTAATTTAATTCTTTGACTTTTTATTATTTTATAATTTGTGTTTAGCTTTTATTACGCCGCTTATTTTCATGTCGGTTTCTCTTTTTATTGGTGTGGTTCGAAAGTGTAAATGGTAGGCTATTTTTTTGCCGCTTAACTTCCGTTAATTTTTGAATAATAATGTCCGTTTTGCGCTTTATTTTCGAGCTGAAGAATTCCTCTCCGTAGTAGCGTAGCATGGCATGTTTTTTTGTTACGTAATTTCGTAATTTTCCGGCCTTGACTAAAAAAGAGAAATATTCTTCTCTCTGCGGTGGGTGGGAACGTGTTTCTCACACAAATAATTTTTAGTAATATTATTTGGGCAACCTTTTTTTTGCAGCTGCGGACAACTTCGATAAGTTCAAGGGTCTGGCTGAGTTCTTGAGACGAAATCCGGCACCACTGGCCAAGAAGCTCCTACAGCAGCTCGCCGCGTGGGAGTATTACAAGAAGTACATCAATAAGTATGTACGACCCGATGTGGACCACGTAGGAGGAGAGTTCGTTTTTTACGGCACGCGGGCACGTCGAAGCCTGCCGCGAAGGCTGAATCGTAAGTACTTGACTTTCCACATCATTCCCATCTTCAGCCCTGATTTGTACCACTTTGTTTTCAACTGCAGTTAGGACGTACGTGCAGGCTAACATTTTAGTGTTTCATTTGTCTTTGGTTTCGTTTGGTAAATAAAAGTGATTTTCAACGTCGGTTTTGCGAGTACCAGGCCATCTCCAACCAGCTTAGTACAACATTAGTGCTCTAAGCCATTTTCCCATTCATCGCACTTTGTGTATGGCAAATTAAAATTTCTAATATTTTTAGGGATTACATGAAATCACTGGGAGACCTGGAGAAGTTCGTTCGTGTGAAGGTTCCAGCCGTGTGTGACAGCCCGCAGAAGCGCGGTAGTGGCAGCCCGCAGAAGCGCGGTAAGTCGCTGAATTTTTTTATTAGTGTCTATCACCGTTGGCGTGAAATGTTAATTGGTTATTGTCCGAATAAAATATAATTCTTATTTTATTTATTTTGATGCATTCAGTTAATTCAGTTTTTTAATTCTGTAATTTTCGTAGAATTTTATCGATAGGCAGTACCTTTACGGTAGGAATAACTGATTTCTAATTTATCCTAATGAAAAGCCGGTGTTTTACTGAATTTTTTCTCGTTTTTTTGTATTTTTAAATTTTGTAATTTTGTCCCTCAAATTTTTTAAAATCGATTTTAATAAGTAGTTTAATTGATGATTTTCTTCGGTAGAAATATTTTTTTTGAATTTACTGAAAATAAATCCAGGATTTTCGTTTTTTTATTAGTGTAATTGAGAGTGCTTTTTCGGTGGGAAATATTTATAATCTTGAATAATGTTTTTAATATTTTCGTTACATCGACGAAAAATTGACTGCTAAATAATGTCAGGCATAAGCGGAAAATTCAGCCACAATCGTTAACCTGCCGTTTTCATGAATGTGTGTGTGTATCTTGTGCAGGCGGCGTAGGAGGAAGCGGCGGCGACCGCGCGTGAGGCCACTCCCCGCAACTGTCCGGAGAACGACGGCGGCGGCCGTGGCGGTTATTAGGAGGCCCTCCCCCCTTCATCCAGGCATCCTCCCCCATCGTATCATCCGTGTTTAAGCTCGTGGGTCGTTTTTTAACTTCCATTATATTTTTTTGATAATAATGTCCGTTTAGCGCTTTATTTTCGAGCTGAAGAATTCCTCTCGTAGTACGTGTGCGTGTTTGTACGAAGCCGCACCGGTTGTTTGTTACGTATAGAATGTCGTTTTCCCGGCCTTGACCAAAAAAGAGAAATCTCCTCTCTTCGCGGTGGGTGAGAGACGGGTTTCCGATGCTTATCTTTCTGATCTTGAACTTGATGTTACTAGTTTTTTTGTGATAATTTTATGATGAAATCGTTGGTGATGGATTTATTTTCTGCAGTTAGATCTCACAGATAAAAAAAATCTCCAAAGTTACCCGATATTAAGGACACTCGTAGGGAATTTCTGTATTTTTCGGGATGCATTTGCAAAATAAAGCAATAAAAGCGTAGGAATTTAATGGCCGAAAAATTGCAATTTCTGTATTTTTCGGGATGCATTTGTAAAATAAGGCAAAAAAAGCGTAGGAATTTGATTGCCGAAAAATTTGTAAATAATTTATTTTAAATTGGGGGAAGTTGGAATTTGCTGATCTGCAATTAATCAATTGGAACTACTTGTGCTTTAAGAAATTAAAAACTGAATTTGCCGTTTTTTTGCGGATAATTGCAGTACTGTACATGATTTCAGATAAATAATGGTAAAAATAAGCAACAACGAAACCCGAAAATAAACAATTTATTTGTGATGAAAAAATTAAAAGTGCGGCATTTTAGCGCATCATTCGGGATTGAATTTTATGCACAACGCACATTTGAAAAGTAGTACCTCACGAAAAATGATTGAAAAATTATTTACTGCATATTTTTTGCGCTTCATTGTTTATTTTATCAGCAATTCTCATTTTTCAGATTTTTCTGCTTTCGCGAGCAAATAAAATCGGTAAATACAGGTAAAATTAAAGCGGCGCATACAATGAATGTCCAGTACGTAACACTGCAAACCGAAGGCTGGCAACAGAGAACAGCGTGGGAAGAGTCCCATTAAAGCCCCTTGACAGCGCTGAAATCAGTTCAGAAATTATGTTTTGGTTTTAACATTTTATTCCGATTTAATTTAAAATTAAAATCGTGGATTGTAGCCCAAAATAATTATTATCACTAAATCGAGAATGAATTTCCATTTTTTATTCCTGCGCATCAAAAAAGTAAGGGGCAAACAAAAGCAGCGCATGTAGCGAATTCACCGTACACAACTTCCGGCTGCCATCGTCAGTGTGAAGGTGCACAACGGAGACAGCACGGCCCGCGCAGCGTTTACCCCACTTGTGCACTGGCCGAACGCAAACACGTTCGCCGTTCTGCCAGTCTTTGTTGTTGTCCGACGCGGTTGGCTCGTTTCCAGTTTGTCTCCGTAGATTCCGCCGTATATTCCCGTTTAAAATCTCTATCTTTTAGTTTTAAGTTTTTATTCCGGATTGCCCCGATGCCCGCCGTGGCCCGTGCCGCTGGTGTCAATGGCCCGTCTGCTGACGCTGCTCGGCAGCAGCAGAGCAATGGACGCAGCGTATCCGGTAAATCCCCTGTTTGACTGTGTAGCTGAGCGCATTATTTACGAGAATCTTGTGTGTTTGTGGAGCGTCCTCCCGGCCGCGTTTTGGCCCGGACCCGCAGCGCGATGGCCGCGCGGTGGTTGAGACAGGGGAGTCGTTGGCCTGGACGCCGTCTGCGTCGTCAGCGCTGTCGGCCAGCAGGATCGCTGAACTGCGGCGCTCGCTGTTCATTCCCTGTCTGCCCGACGAGATCGAGCTGAACGAGCTGGTCGCGCGTCTCACGCTGCTCGGGAATATTCAGGAGATTATTATCAAGAGGAATCAGCGGGTAAGTTTTGCCCAAGACGGATTTATCATTTTTTTGTAGATTTTAAAAAATTATTCTGCGTGAAAAAATGTGGGGAAGTAATTCAGTTATTGATTTAATTAGTCATTTTTTATTCGGTCGAATTTCGTCGCCATTTTCCGTTCTCGACTTTGCGTGATGTGGTGTTGCCATAGCTTTTCGCTTTTCTTGTCAATTTCGAGATGCGGTTGTTCTCATGGTAAATGACCGTAATTTTCTTGGGAATTTGCTACAATTATGGTAACATGCGCAGCACCGCAAATAATTTTTTTGCCAAACATTTTAATTATTTTATTATTTTCGTACGGTACGTACCAATTAGCAATTCAAATTTTGCTCCGAAAATACGATTTTTATTACAGCATTATTTTTGGTCGGCTTTCGTTGAATGTTCAGTTTTTGGTAAATCCTATTTTTAATTAGGAAATAATTTTTACTCGCTGAAAGCGGATTGTGGTAAATTGAGGCGTATTTTTGCAGGTGTTTTTCTTCGATTAAATTGAAAAAGCGATTAATAATTATTGATCAGTTGATTTGCAAATTATGAATCAATTATTAAGCAAATGCAGTCGATTATTCGGTGCATTTTTTGTTGGTCGGTTTATCTGTTTTCATATATTTTTGAAATTATTCTTGTAGTCGCGCTTGGCTTGCTGATAAATTAATTGTGATTTGTGAAGTGAAATGACATGGCACGACGCATTAATTTTGCGTGTGTGGGGTTTATTCCAGACGGATCAAACCGAATCCATTTTTCAACCATTAATAATTTAATTCTTAAAAATTGCCAAAGATGTGTTAGTACTTGTTCGGTTTTTCTGGTTCGTTTACGGATTAAAGAGTGCTTGTGAAATTATTTTTGTACCGATTTCTTGTTTGTAGAAGTGACTCGCATTTGTACTAATTTAAACACATTTGTAATAATTTTGTGTATTTGCTAGATTAATCACGCAGCAGCTAAAATTCGAAACAGATCGAACCGAATTATTTTTTCAACCATTAATAATTTATTTCTGAAAATTGCCGAACACTATCCGCTCCATTTTCGAATCGCCGAATCGGACCAATTTGTACAAAGCGTGCCGTGTCGTCTTTATTGGGTTATTCGAGTGAACATTGAATAGAAACAAAATTACGCGTCACATCATTTCAGTACATAATACACTTCATCCAATCTCTTACCAATACAGAACGTTTCCTGAACACAAGCAGCATTACCCCGCATCAAAGCTATACTGATTCTCTGCTTCAGGAATAGAGTGGACCGTTTCTCCTGTGTCCTCTCATAAAGCATCTTACCGAGCGTAGACATCTTACATTTAGATTCTTTACTCCACACGCCCATTGTTTCAAAAACCAAAGCAGAGAAAATAAAGTTAGCCCGTAGATATGCGTGCTTATTGTTTTTCTTTGCCTCTGCCATCGTGGCGGCCGCGCCGGCTTCCTGGGACGTCTTGGCAATGTAAGAAGTAGCCATGGTATCCGGGCACGTTACATCCCAAACCCAAGATCTGCCCTGGCTAAAGGGGACTGAGGTCATACCGTCCGGTCGTTTCAGGGTATCGCGGTACAGTCCTGGCGGCTCCAGAACCGAAGGGAGGCTGGCCGAGCCACACGCGCGATGGATAACATCTCTGATTTCGTTGTGACGGGAAATCTTCGCTTTAAGGCGCTTGCATCCCAAACCGTGATATCCCCACATCAACAATGCTGCCGCATTTGCACCGGTGTTCGACACATACTGGAGCGCCGATGCGCTGCGCAATCGATATTCTCACTTCGGTATTTGACAACAAGGTACCAAGGCTTGCCACTGGAACCGCGTTGAGCCACAGTCCAGATTCGGGCTGGGACACGGCTAGCAGCCGGGCTTTCTGATTAACGGAGTTGGTTTGACGTAATACTGCTTCTTTCTGCATGAGAACAACCGGTGTGTCCCAAGCACGCTGAGAGGCACGCAAGTTTTCTGCAGGAAGTTCCGTCACCCCCATTGCTTTCCAAGCTTGTGCCGTGCCGTGTGGAAATTGTAAATACAATGTAAGACTAAATGGTCGCATAGCCCCATACCCAGCATTCTGTACGCAAGCGGTGCAGTGCACTTGTACGAAACGGATATTTTGAACTCAGTCGTACAGTGCACTGCGCTGCATTCGTACTGAATGTGGAGATGTTGGGTATGCGACCATTTTGTCCTAAGCTGTACTCTGCGTAAAACGCAGCCAGAATTAATTGATTTAATTTTGGAATGATGTAATTTATTTGTCTGCGACCTGGCGCTGCGCCGATAAGAATCCCGTTGCACATAAATCATAATTATATAATTGGCAGGCGGTGCGCTTCGGCATCGTCGTCTTCGTGGAGGAGGAAGCGGCGTTCGACGCGCTGCAGGCCGGCCTCGTGGTGCAGGAGCAGCGCGTGGCCATGGAGCCGCGCCGGTCGCCGGACGGGCGGCCGCACCCGCCGCGGCTGCCCCGCGACACGCCCACGCCCCTCATCGTCCAGCGCGCCCCCGGGGGCCGCGGCGTCCCCCTTGTCCGTGCTGCCGGCGGGCGTGCCGGTCCTCAGCGAAGACGAGGCCGACGAGCACCACCGCACGGGACGGCCCCCGGGGGCGGTGGCCTTCCGCGCCCCCGTCCTCCACAGCTGGCTGGAGTTGGTGGAGAAGAGGCAGCTTTTTTTAATTCTTAACTGTGCAATGATGGCCGTAGTTAATGGAACTATGACTGTAATGTCGCGATTTGAAAATTAAACCAAAACCACTTTTAAAAAAGAGGCAGCTGGCCGTGCCCGTGGTCCCGCTGTCTGGGGAAGCGGTTAAGAGGAAGAAGGCGCTCCACCACAAGGTCTCCTTTCTCACCGAGACGGAGGCCAGGGTCAAAAAGAGGGAGGAATTTTGAGAGGGAGGAATTTCTGCGTGGTCAAAAAGAGGGAGGAATTTTTGAAGCGAGGGAGGGAGGAATTTTGAAATGGTCAAAAAGAGGGAGGAATTTTTTCGAAGTTCAAATGAAGTACTTAGGGACCTCGAACCCAGGTCTCCGATGTCGCCCCCAAGATTCTCTCATTATATACACAGTTTGAAGGGCTGAGTTGAACGGAAGTACTCGGGGACCTCGAACCCGGGACCGCGAGGTCGCCACCCAGATTTCCTTACCAAGAGGAATCGTTTGGCTCGTCCTCGTGCCGAATTCAAGACATGTTGAGGGTTCGATGAAACAGAAACACCAGTGACCTTTAGGTCGCCAAGTGAACTTTGGGTCGCCACCGATTTTCATAGTGATTCCTATACAGTTTGACATGCTGAGTCGAACTCAAGTACTCGGGGACCTCGAATTGGGTCCCGAGGTCGTTATTACGACATGTACCACATATACACAGATTGCTGTGCTGAGTCAAACTGACGTGCTGGGGTTCTCGGACCCGCGTCCCCCAAGTCGCCACCACGATATAAATTTTATATGCATAGTTTGATGTGCTTTATCAAGCCACTGCTGGGGGACGTAGAAACCGGGAACATTTCTCAATATTTTTAAATGTTTCTAAAAATTACTGAATGTTTCTAAATATTTTCACTAATATTTCTTGTTATATTTCTACATATTCCTAAATATATTTTTAAATATTCTAGATATTTTTAGACATATCTTTAACTATATTTCAACATATTTTTTGATAGTTTTAAATATATCTGTAATTATGTCTTAACACATTATGTATATACTTTTGATTAATCTAGAATTAAGTTTTCTGATATTTCTGTACAGATGCATATCTGTACAATTTCTAAATATTTCTCAATATTTCTGGATGTCTCCAAGTACGGGCTAATACATTAATAAGTATTACCGTTTTACGACTAGTCAGTACAAGATAACAACTAAATGAGAAGTACAACATCTAAATCGCAGCAACAGGGAATAACGGACAGGTGCTAAGTCATCCTTTGTATCGTGGCTTTCATGATATGCCAATAATCTCGTGATATGCAAATATACCACAATTTCTAAATACTTTAACTATTTGGTAATTTTTCTCAATATATATCGATATTTTTTTCAATTTTTCTCATGATTTCTGTGAATATTTTTTATTATATTTCTACATTTTTCTAAATATATTTGTTTTAGATTTTAAATATATTTCTAGATATCTTTGAATATACTTAGTGGTATTTTTCGATACGTTCAAATATAATAAGTTATTTCTTGATACATTTCTGAATATATTTTGAAGATTCTAAATATTTTTTTAATCTGAAAAATATTTAATATTAATAAAGAATCTGAAAAATATTTAATATTAATAATTTAATATTATTTAATATTAATAAAGATTCTAAATATTTTTTTAATCTAGTATATCTGAAAAATAAAATACCGTAAATTTAAAACTGTTGAATAAAACAAGGTTTTTAAGAACTGGCATTTTACTTTAAAATACTTAAGTATCAAAATACTTAACATGCCGAATTTTATTTAACTATAACCTCTACGTTTTTATCTCTGCTGATTATGTTCTAATCAAATTACTTTATGTAACGCTACTGTAGAGATAAATTCGAACACTACTTTCAAATCAAATTTCTTAACGGTTACTTCAAGCTTTGGATCATAAATTCAATTCCGAAAGGTGCAACGGAATGGGAATTTTGGCACTGCCATGATTAAGCGAGCACAATAAGGGCTCAGTATGTCGCAGCGCAAAGGTCTTTACCACGCCTGCTTTGGATGCCATATCGCAAACCAGTCGCCGGTATGGTCAGCAGCGTCTTCGACTGAGCGCGACAAGCTAGCAGGACTGCAACGTAAAGCTCTGAAAACCATCACTGATTACAAGATGCCGGTAACTCCGGAACTGTATCAGAAGTTGGGTTTTCTTCACATATTCGACCGATGGCGTCAGAGCGATGCGGTGTGGCTGTTCAAGTTCAGGAACAAAGATCAGTTCTCGCTTCCGGCCTACCTCCTGGACATGATTCAAGTAAAAGATAATGCCATGAGCTACAATTTGCGGAAGCCGGCCCGGATCAATGCTATGCGGGCAAAGAAAGTTATCGGAGGGTGGACTATGGAAATGCGACTAAAGCGTCTTCTTGATAAAATTCTTGCTGTTAATCCTAAAATTCTCGAAGCTAGTTCTGTACCTCCTTTTAAATTTGTACTCAAACCTGTTGAGCTGTCCTAGATGTTTTTGTTAGCAGAAAAATGTTTTTGTTCGACCAGACTTGAAGTCCCGTTGGGTTGTCTACTCTTGCGCCGTAATAATAATAATAATAATAATATGATATTTTGATATAACCTTTTATATTTTATCTTTGTTTGGATTCTAAAATTGTAGTGGGAATTCGACGTCTTTGTAGAACGGCATTAAATATTTGAAACACTGATTTTTTAAAGCAAATCTACAACGCATTTCTTTTATCTGCCGATGACACATTGCAGCTCAACGTCACATGACACAATGTTTCGTAACGAGACTTTTTGATGTACTGGTTTCTTACAAAACGTTCGCGCTCATTTAATGTACGGATAGCCTCTAATTTCCACGATTTTTTAAAATTATTTTAAAGAATTATGGAAAAACGATTAACATCTCATTGTATAATTTCAGTACACAGCATCATCAAAGTTTTGTTCTCGGAGTTTCGCATACATCGTAGTTTCTTCCCAGCATCGCTAGTTTCTACCGGGTGGCCGAACAAAATGGCGGTCTGCTTTACCTGAGTGCCGCTGGTCTGTCAGATGCTTGACTGACATCGTTCTAGTGTCATTTGAAAGAGCATCTTTACTGCATACAAAAGTTAAAATAAACCGACATTGTAAATAGGTTTATATTTTTTATGAATTCTTTTATGCATTTCGGTTTTTAGCAGAGCCAGAGACTCCGCATATTTTTCGTATATTTTTCGACGCATGCAGCATCTGCGGTATATGGTGCACACTCCGAATAGAACGTCCATTTTATTCCTCGTGTTTGTCTCGCATTCGTTCCTTATAGCGGAATCAGACTTAAGCCCAGACTTGGGCGCCTTTTTGCGGAGCGGAGAAATTCTCAGCGGTAAAATTGAATTTACCGAAGATCAGAGAAAAACATGAACACTGTTTTCAAAACCACATCTACGTACATCTGGAAATGTGGTTTCTGCCATAAACGGAAGAAACATAAAAAGCACCGAAAAAACTTATGCCTATATTTAATATGTATTTGGCGGGTGGCGGAAGATTAGGCAATGGCGGGCGGAGCCGCTGCGGAAGTGCGAATTTTTTTTGTTGCGGCGGGGCGGAAAATTTTTAGTAAGAGCGGGGAGTGCGGAAAGCGGAGATCTCGAGGGCGGCCCAAGTCTGACCGGGATATGTAGGTCTACTACGTATTCATTGCATTACTATTGATTAATGAATAACCCAGATGCAGAATTATTATCCAAAAAATAATACACAATTTATTTTAATTTCTGTTTTGAAAATTAACTGCGTAGCGCTTTTAAAATAACTGTTTTTAAGTTAAACAGAAAAATTTAGGAATCCATTCGAAAGTGCAAATTTAAATTTGAATTGAACGTGTAAATAAATTTTTTTTAAACAAAATTTTAGTTAAAATGATTTTGCTTTGGGCGGTAATTGGCAGGTTAATAGAAATAATTTAATATCCGTTTGAAAATTCATGAATTACTTTAAAATTTCGGATTTTTAAAATAAAAAATAATTAAGCAGCCAAAAGATTTTAAAAGTTGTTTTTTTTTTCAATTCGACTGAGATTTATCTCATGTTTTATTCAGCACTTAACACAGGCAGTTAAATTGTGTGGCGAATCGCTTTTCATCATTGGATAAGTCATCCTGTGCAGATGTATGTATACGAAAGTCGAAATATATAGAAAAATAAATTCATTGGAACTAATGTATCCGTGTTTTGCGCAAAATTTTTGTTAACCAAATTGATTCCTCAGATAATATTCGTTCTGAGTTTTGGCTATTGTACCCGACCAGTGCTGAAGTGGATTTCGGGTAACTACTTAGATTTAACTTTAGATAATGTGCTTTCTTATGGATTTCAGATGGTAGTATCTATTGGTAAATCGAGATTAGGGTAATTTGGCATCTGTTTTGAATTGTTCAGATGTCTTCGTTTTTAGCTGTTTTGATATTTGTTGAGCACCGACCTTGATATTCTGGTGTTCCAAGATTCATTTATCTATGTAGCTGTTAAGTTGTTTTGTTGTTTAATAGGTTTTTAAAATTTAATAGGTTTTAAAAAATTTAGAATTAGTTAGAAATTGTAGAGATATGTACAGAAAGATCAAAACACGCAATTTTAGAATAATCAAAAATATATTCAGAAATGTGTTGAAACAGAACAGAATAGATTCGAAGGACGCGGTTCCGAGGCCCCGGAGCATTTCAACAGCAAACTGCGCATATATGCTATACACCGTGGTGGCGACCTCAAGACCCGGTTTCGATGGTCCCCGAGTACTGTAGTTCGTCTCAGCACATCAATTTATGCATATAAAATGTATATCGTGGTGGCGACTTGGGGGACGCGGGTCCGAGAACCCAAGCACTTCAGTTCGACTCAGCACAGCATACTATGTATATGTGGTACATATGTATGTATATGTATGTCGTAATAATATATGTATGTCGTCGTAATAATATAATATATGTCTATGTATATGTATGTCGTAATAACGACCTCGGGACCCAGTTCGAGGTCCCCGAGTACTTGAGTTCGACTCAGCATGTCAAACTGTATAGGAATCACTATGAAAATCGGTGGCGACCCAAAGTTCACTTGGCGACCTAAAGGTCACTGGTGTTTCTGTTTCATCGAACCCTCAACATGTCTTGAATTCGGCACGAGGACGAGCCAAACGATTCCTCTTGGTAAGGAAATCTGGGTGGCGACCTCGCGGTCCCGGGTTCGAGGTCCCCGAGTACTTCCGTTCAACTCAGCCCTTCAAACTGTGTATATAATGAGAGAATCTTGGGGGCGACATCGGAGACCTGGGTTCGAGGTCACTAAGTACTTCATTTGAACTTCGAAAAAATTCCTCCCTCTTTCTGACCATTTCAAAATTCCTCCCTCCCTCGCTTCAAAAATTCCTCCCTCTTTTTGACCACGCAGAAATTCCTCCCTCTCAAAATTCCTCCCTCTTTTTGACCCTGGCCGAGACGGATGATGTAAGTAGAATGCGGATGTATATTTTCGCCGGTTTTCAGTTTGTACAGCGGATTTTGTATAAATTTTTCTGAATTTTTGTGAATTTTTTATGGAATTTTGCGGATTTTAAAGTTCATCCAAATACTGTATCGATTTTGCATTAATATTCACAGATGAATTTATTTTAGGTTTTATTTGATTTATTTATGCTCATTTTCCTTTTTTTATTTTGCTGGGAATATTTTGGGTTTTTTCTTTATTTTTTCTTGATTTATGAGTTCGTATTTTGGGTATGTTCAGATTTATTAATTATGGAATTTTCGAAATTTCTTGTAATAATTGTTTTGCCGATGAATTTCCATGCTTTTTCTCGGAGGGCTTTTGGCGAATTTAAAATTTTTTTAATTTTTTTGTGTGTCAAAAAAACAGCCAAATCAAGCACAATACAGTTCTCGAAAAATGCTGCCCGGTTTTTCATTTCATCGGATGATTTCCATTTTTTCTGCATCTTACCGGAAAACTCGCATTATTATTAACGAGATAACGGCCCCGCCCGCTGACTGTAAGGTAACCCTTTAATGCTACCATTTTCTGATATTATGTGGTCAATTTTTAATGTTATTTGAGTGTTTGATTTTTCATATTTTTCATTATTTACTTGATTTTATTTCACCGTAATATACAGTGCAAAAATGATTACAGTTATGTTGCAGCCGTGTCAGCAGATGCGCTTGTTGATGGAGCGGTCGCAGTTGAGTGCGGAGGAGCGCGATGCCCGGGAGAACGTGCGCCGCCAGCTGGAAGCCACGTTCCGGCGCATTTTCCGCCGGTGCACGGTGCGATTATATGGATCCTCCGTCAACACCTTCGGCGTCCGCGGATCCGACATCGACAGCTTCCTCGATCTGCACTTGGACGAGATAACGGCCCCGCCCGCTGACTGTAAGGTAACCCATTTAAGTACTTCTACCATTTTCTGATGTTATCTAGTCAATTTTTAATGTTGTTTGAGTTTTTAATTTTCATAATTTGCGCATTCACAAGGGTGTTAATAATTCGCTGTTAAATTTTACTGGTTTAATTCCACAGTTAAACGCGGTGAAATCACTACATAATATGATTATTATTAATTTAACTACAGCGCCTTAGGCGAAAATTAATGGATTATTTCAGTGTTCTGTAATTAATTGAAGTGGTTCAAATTGAGGCTTTGCTATTCGGTTTAATTAATTTTTTATTTAATTTGGCAGTTTAGCTTTTCTTACTTTTAGCATTAATAAATATCGGATAATTATTACAAAGTAATTTGAAAATTATTCGGGAATGTCGTTTGCTTTCTTTGGTGCAGAGTTTTTTTATATTTTAATTGCTAATAATTTGCCGTTAATTAATAGTTATGTTTACGTGATAATTACCTGATAATTGGCGATTTAGCAGTTATTCGGGAATGTGGTGTATTAATTATTTTGGTGTAATGTAATTTTTTTGCGGTGTTTTGTTGTTTATAGCCCCGCGAGCAGCCGATGAGCTATTATTTTTCCAACGTGACGCAGCTGTTCCAGTGCCCGTACGAGCCGTGGGAGCTGGCTGGGGAGTCGCCGAAAGACATCCTGCGCTTGATGGAGAAGCTGCTGCGCTACCTGGCCAAGAGCGAGAACTACGAGGACGTGCTGGCCATTCCCGCGGCCCGCACGCCCATCCTCAAGCTGCGCCATCCCGCCGCGCACCTCAGCGTCGACGTCTCCTTCACCAGCAAGTACGCACCCGCGCTCGACGCTCAGAATAAATCGTAGTTATTTCTGGAATTAATCCAGAAAAATTACAAAATTAATTTGGACTTCTATAGATATACAAACAATTTAAGAAAATAATAAGAAATTATTTTTCGGTATCGTAATTGTGTTTCAAATATAAACAAGAATGGTTTAAGCAATAATTGGGAGTTCTGTAGAGTTTTAAATTCATTTAGATTAAAATAATATGAATTATTACCGGAAATAATATTTATTTTTGACGTTGCAGTGATATGGAATAATGTGCGAAATCAGTTGAAAATCGCTGTAAAATAATAAAAATAATCACGACAATAATAATTATTTTGGAAGATGGTGTAAAAGTTTTGGTGTTTTTAATACGTTATTTCACTTATTTGATGGTTGACTCTACGATAAATCATAAAAGTCTGATTGAATGCCGTAAATTGGGATGTGTAAAAAATGACTGCAGAACATCTCTGTAAATTTGCACAGGATCGTAGTGCAGTGGCGCAGCTCTTCACCACTTATAACATTTGTCTTATCGGATTTCTGGTTTTATTTTTCCGTATGCGTCAGGTTGCTTACCGTAATTTATCAGGTTAAATGACTATTTTAACGGGTGGTCAGTGACCTCAAAAATTGATTTTCCAGATAATTTTGCACACAGTTTTTGTCTGTTATAACTGTTTCTAACAAGAAAATAAATTAATTCTCAGGGACGTTGAAGAAATGGCATAATAAACTGCAGGTTGGTGTTGGAGAACACGGGCCTGCTGATTCTGTACAGCCATCCGGCTGCGAATTAGAAATAAATTTCCAGAAATAAATTTTAGAAATTACATTTTGATTTCTGTAAATAAACTTCAGTAAGGGGAGTATAACGTTTTGCAAATAAACCATAGTAAAAATGTTTAATCCAAATATGTACCTTTTAATAGACGAATGTCGGTAACAAATAAGCTTAAAATAATAATAAGTCCTAATCGCAGGTCAGTGTTTGAGAACACGGGCATGTTGATTCTTCAATTCTTCACAGCCATGCCGATGTCCGGCTGCAAATTAGAAATAAATTTCAGAAATATATTTTAGAAACTAAATCTCTGTAAATAAATTGCAGTAAGGTGAGTAAAAATTTTGGCAAATAAACTATAGTAAAAATGTTTAATCCAAATATGTACCTTTTAATAGACGAATTTTGGGTAGCTTAAATAAGCTTAAATAATATAATCATAATTGCAGGTTAGTGTTCGAGAACACGGGCCTGTTGATTTTGTACAGCCACCTGGAGCCCCGACTGCGTCCGCTGGTGTTGACGCTGCGGCAGTGGGCGGACGCCAAGGAGCTGACGGGCAGCGAGGACTGACCAAGTACGCCCTGACGCTGCTCCTCGTCTTCTTCCTCCACACCCAGGAACCCCCGTCCTCCCGCCGCCCGACGAGATCCACCGCCATGTCGTGAATAATCCCCGTCTGACGCTTTTTTTGACGCTTCACGCTCTCATCCTCCCGCCGCCCGACGAGATCCACCGCCATGTCGTGAATAATCCCCGTCTGACGCGACTTCAGCTTCGATCTGAGAGGAAATTGGCCGACTTGGCCAAGGAGTTGCCGCCCTCGAGGAACACGAAAACGGAAGGTATGTTAATTTTTGTATTGAGTGTCGCTGGTTTTTTTTCGCACTTTGTCTCTCATATTTTCCACAATTTATTACTTTATAATACTGTTGTAAATTAATGTTAATAAATTCAGATTTCAGTCTTATTGAGATGAAATATTCGGGTTTGGGAAAACGATGCATTTATTCTGTAATTACGCACTATTTTACCGTGGGTACTACAACTGTTGCTCCGAATTAAATTATTTTTAATTTTTAATAAATTCTTTATGGGTTAAAAAATAAAAAAGTGCCGTATTTAGTTTTTTTATTAAGTACCGTAAGTACTAAAAACGAATAGGCTACGTTTAATTTATCTTTAAGTTTTTGGAAAATATTTAACGGATTGCGAAATAAAGGCCGATAAAATCACAGCTTCAAACCAGTTAAAAGGAAACAGAATATTGACGTTGTTTTATTTCAACGCGTTGTATAATTACTGTGCTAACGTTAATACTTTTAATTTGATTATTGCGTTATTTTGACCTTTGTAATTGTTGATAATTCGTTGGTGTACTGAAAAATAAAAACCGCTGAAAATAGACCTTTTGGTTGAACTTGATAAATCTCCTTCGCATCAGGTCTGTTGTGGGGAAATATTAGAATTAACATTTAAAAAAATACAGTAATACGTTGCACTAGTGTACCTTCATGTTGCTTCTGAAATTGGCATTTTTTTACCCATATTAAACGTTTGAATTTATATTAATTAGGATTATTTATACCTTTCGCTGTATTGCAGCGGATTTATTGGTGGATTTTTTTATATTATTAATCACAACATATACATACAAGTAATTATACGTTTAATTAAAAATTCTTAGTTATTTAATAATTATACACTTCGCTGTGTTGCAGCGGAATTATTGTTGGATTTTTTCGAGTATTACTCCACCTTCTCCTTCCCCACGACGGTGATGCGGGGCTGGAGCGGCGAAGTGGTCCCGCTGAGCGATTTCCGCGATTCCCTGCCGCCCACGGGCGACCTTCAAACTGCGCTACGTGAACCTGCAGGACCCTTCGATCTCTCGCACAACGTCGCCAAGAGCGTCTCGCTGACCACCTTCGTGGCGCTGCAGCGCTGGCTCCAAGAGGAGGTGGCCGTCTTCCGCCGGCGCGCGCTGAACCTCCTCCCGCTGCTGGAAACCGACCGCGAAGACGTGGCGCCGCCGCCCGTCATGCTGCAGCTCTCGGCCGTTCAGGCTGCGATCCCTTTTGACCAATGGGCGCCCCGCGTCCCGGAGCTGCTGCGCCGGATGCTGGTCGAGTTCTTCAAGTGTGACTGCCCGCTGCCGGCGGCCAACGGTGAGTTGGCAGTTTTTTTCTCCATTAATTGATTTTCTGAACTGATTTATTTGCATTTATTTCTGGATGCTGTATTTCTAGTCATTTTCTTAGAAATTGTTTTTAATAATTAATGTTTCGTTATTAGTATACCTTATTTTTGTAAATTGTTGCTATTATTGGGTGCAGATTTGCAGATGTGGCTGTGAAATGTAATTTTGACCATCGTTTTTCTTCAACGCTTTTCTGCATATTTTATAATGTTTTAATAGTTAGTTTATTTGCTGGCTGTTTTTCGATTTGTGCAAGTTCTGGGTTTTATTGAAAAATATTGTTTTAATAATTTTATTACAGTGTGAATTTTCTGAACCTTTTTTTATTTATTTTTGAATAAATAAATGGCCTTTCGTGGAAATAAATCGCAAAAAGTTGTAATTTGGCTTGGATGTTGTTTCAGCAGATGGCAACCATGTTTTTTTGGTAAATATAAAATGTTGCGGTATTATGCATGAATTCCTAAATTTCTCGTATATGTTCTTGAGATTGCTCTATTTTCTGGATTTATTTTTTATTTTTATTGGATTTATTTTTTCTTAGGAATTTGATGAATAAAATAGTTCGATTAATTGGATAATATTTTGAGCGGGCTGTTGAGGGTGTGTTTTCTGAGCAGGGGGCGTGGCCAGCGGCAGTGGCGAGACGCGGCGTTTCCGGCAGATCGGGCGGATCGTGGCGGAATTGGAGTGCCGCCTGCAGCAGCGCACCTGGCTGAACCGGCGCACCTACCGCAAGGCCGTGCTGCAGAAGCGGCCGGGGACGCTGCTGGGTCTGGAGGAGCAGTGGCGGCTGGAGTGCCAGGTGGCCGAGCGAATCGCCGAGACTGCCGGGCGGCCGGTGGACCTGCACTTCCGCCTCACGCTCCTCCACAACGCCGTCGAGACGGAGCGGCTCTGCGTCTTCCTCGCCGCCGACGAGTCCTCCACTGATCTCCAGTAAGGACGCTTTTTCAACTGTTTATCACAACAGAATACAGATACGCGGAAGATTTCACTTTACTGTAGAATTAATTTTTTTTCTTGAATTTTTATCACGTACTTACATTAAGTACGTATTAATTTTATGTCTTGCGTTTAAAATTAATGTAACAATTAAATCTTTACGACGCAGTAAATCTAATTTTTATTGCGCAGTAATCAGACGTAGTAGCAAATAATAATTTAAAAAACGATTAATTAATAAATATCTCTGCACAATTTTTCTAAAATAAATAACATACCAAATGCGTAATAAATGGAGTAAAATGTTGTGGTGACTGGTAAGGGTTGGAGTGGCAGTAATTTTGTTGGGAATTTTTTTGAATTTTTGCGGCCTTTTTTAGTTAATTGAAAAGGCTTTAATTCGGTGTTTAATTGAGTTTGATCGCTTTTTATTGCGCAATAAACAGACGAAGTAGCCAATAATGATAAAGAAATGAATGAATACTAATTAATAAATATTTCTGCATAATTTTTGTAAAATCAAAATACTAAATACGTAATAAATGAATTGAAACGTTGTGGTAAGGGTTAATGTAGTATACTGAGTTCACGTGTTTATTGTCCTTCTAATACTTTCCTATTTCTGTCCTTTGTCCTTGTCTTCTTAGCAACTTCTCTTGTGTTTTCCCGGTTCTCTAGTTACGATTCCTCAGTTTCCTTTCAGTTGTTTTCCTGACCATTACGATACAATAAAGATACGATTCCTACACATGACAATACATGACAATGGCGTGAAGCTTGTGTAATACTGTAGATCTCTATCATTGAAGTGTGAGTTCTTTATATACGGCTTAACAGCGCTAGTTCGCTTCTTAATTCGTTCGAATATGGCGACACAGAAACTCATCCCATCCTACGGTTTAATCGAGTCGATGCAGTGGGATATGTGGAAAGAAAACCTCCACAGCTATATCAGATTCGCCGACATCCCGTGGAGAAGCAGAAAGGGCTGCTTCTGAACTCGCTGGAGGTCAAGCCATTCGAGATGCTTGTCTCGATGTGCAGGCCGACTGCCATCACGGACAAGAAACTCACCATAGAAATGCTGCTGGCCAAATTGGATACAGTGTACAACAAGTACACATTCAAGGTCGCGGAGTGGGCACACCTGTTCCGAACTGTCAAGGGAAGGACGAATCGCTGGCGGCATACTCCAGCAGGTTACGGTACAGGAGTACCGTATGCAAGTTCTCCCGCCTGACATCATCGACCCGATGCTCAGCGCCGTCTTCATAAACGGCATCCAGTCGGATTCCGTCCGCCGTCACCTACTGATAAACGAATACCAGACCCACGAAGAGACCTGAACGCCGCCAGGAAGATGGAAACCGGCATTGAAGAAGCTACGGCCAGTACGTCCAGCCAAGACCGTGAAACTGTGATGAAAGTCACAGCCAGCAGAAGGTCAACGGTTGTCAAGCAAAAAGACATCCAATTCCAGTGGTCAATCCAGTGCAAATGGAAGCCACAAGCCACCCACCAGCAATCAAAACGAGTCCGATTCCGATTCCAGTTCCCTAAGCGAAGATGCGATTCCTGTGGATCAACCGATCACATGCGCGAGCGCTGTTTCTACAGGAAACACGTATGCCATAACTGTGGGAAGAAAGGTCATATAGCAAAGGCATGCCGCTCACAGAAGAAATCCGACGTCGCTACGAATAACTACATTACGGATTACGCACCGCGTCCTCCATACGACATACTGTGATTCCAGTTCCGGTTCCTACGACGCTTCGTCTCAGTGGTTCAGAGTTCACTAACTATATGGTTCTGTTGCCGTGGTTCTTGTTGCTATGGTTCTATGGTTTGTATGCTGCTAAATATATGGTTCTGATGCAATGGTTCAACCCAGCTCTTTTTGGGCGAGGGAAGGGAATGTAGTATACTGAGTTCACGTGTTTATTGTCCTTCTAATACTTTCCTATTTCTGTCCTTTGTCCTTGTCTTCTTAGCAACTTCTCTTGTGTTTTCCCGGTTCTCTAGTTACGATTCCTCAGTTTCCTTTCAGTTGTTTTCCTGACCATTACGATACAATAAAGATACGATTCCTACACATGACAATACATGACAGTTAAGGAGCCGGTAATGTTTTGTTTAGGAATTTGATTGAGTTTCTGCGGCGTTTCCTGCGTCTGGGACAGAGCGCGGAGCTGGAGAACGGGCGGGATTCGGCGGAGGACGCCGCAGCGGCACCGGCACACCGCGTGGACTGAACGGATCGCGCTGGCCGGAGTCCCGCAGCGGGGCCAAGGGCGCCGCTAGTCGTTGTTGTTGTTGTTGTGTTTCCGGCTGTGTTTACTCGCCATTGACTGGGAAGCGGTGCGCGGCGCGCTGTGGATGCACGGGAATGGGTTGTTGATTAATGACTTGTTGAGGTGAAGTGTTTCTGCATAGATTCCGGGATGGTTGGGGCTTGTGTTTGTTACGGTGATGCGGTTGTTCTGGCTGGGAGCGCCAGTGTACGCACGCTGCTGGGTTGTGCGCCGCATTGGGCGGATGAAAATACGAGTATTAATGATGAAAGTGCATTAATACAGAATAAAATCAGGAAGATAGTAGTCGATAACTGACGGAAAATTCTGTAAAAGAATGTATTCATTGACACTTATTTATTTACGAAAACCAATCCACAAATGAATATTTAAGTAAATAATTCACGGATAAAAAACACATTATAACATATATACACAATAGTTATTGTTACGCATTATAAAATAAACTAACTGATGGTAAATCGGCAGTAGAATTATATTTATGGACAGTTGCTGGTTGACGGATTAAAATCCACAAATGCCGTAAATAAGTAAAATATTCGCGGATAATCTACGCATAATAAAATGCAATACCCGACGGAGATGTCTACAACAGAACATATCTCTATGAACTGGCAATGCAATGATCATTTTGGGAATATTGCACGTACATCGCGTCATGCGTCTCGTTTCGCTCCTGACATGCTGCGATCTTCACGGAGCCCTTCCTGCACTGCCCGGGACCGTCCAGGCTGTTTATCCAGCGCTGGTATAGTACGTGAACAACTATAGTCTAAAGGTCATCGCTCACCGCGGCGGTCAGTGGGCGTGGACGGCGCACTTACAACGGCTGACCCTGCAGGGCGGTGCAGTGAAAGGTCACGCGGGTCCTCAGGCAGGGGTATGCAGTTGCACACGCAACAGCAGCTGACCTTTTATTAGGCTGTTGGGCCTGGCAATCCCGGTGGGTGCGGGAGAACGGGCGCGGCAGACGGTTAAAGGCGGCGTTGCGCGGACTGCAGTGCATCGGTGACTACGGGGTCGGTCCCGCCCGACGCTCCCGGCCAGACGGCAACCGCACCGGCCGTCATCGGGCGCACGGCCCATTTCGCCGGCAGGACGGCCGCCGGGACGCTAAGACAGACGAAGGGGCTACCGTCCGGCCTGAGACGGCCCGCTTCTTCAGCTGCGGCTCCTCGGCACCAGGGACACGCCGGGCACGAAAGATCTTCTAGGCAGGCACTCCCGTGCGATACGCGACGGATGACCTCGTACATCCCGATACAGCTGACCGTACACAAACACTCGTCCCTCTCTGTTCCCCGGGATTCATGCAGGTTTCTTTTACCAGCCTGTCGACAGATGGAGCAGCAACAAATACAACGATTCATTCATGGTCTGTGTATAATAGTCCGAATTCCTGTATGAAATTACTAAAATCCCAGCGTTACGAAAATTTAAGCGGTGGTGCGCGCCCAAGCGAGTGAAATTTGCCTGTGGACTTACCTTACCTGGTAACCTGATAAGCGACAATTTCCAACACTAACTGCAGATGCATGCAATAATATTAAATAACAAGTATCGGTCGCGCTAGCGCGCGACCAGTTGTGTTCAAGGTATGGAAGAATGATAGAAATTACAAAATATACTTCGTACAGCAATAAAATATTTCAAATATAAAACCCCAACGAGGCCAGCCACGAAAATATTTTAAACACGTAGAAATGCGGACAGCTTTCAAGCTTTCCGGTTAAAATCGATCAGTTTACAAAAATTGTAATAATCTCCGTAATTTTTTTTGTCTTTTTCATGTTTTTAATGTAACTTTATATTGCTGATCTGGCCAACTCAAAACTTGAATTTTTTAGTACGACAGGTAGTATTTAAACGGTGATAAAATGGATGGCGTGGGATCACTTACACGATGCCCATAAATAATAAAACACCATTCAGCCGGTATTTCAGCGCAGAATTAATGGAAACTTGTAGGAAACAATTAATAGTTGCTCAAAGTAACCTCGCAGACTGCATCTTTAGCTACTAATTGCAAGATTTTCAGCCAATCAGCCAGCTGTTCAGTATTTAATAAAATAAATTAAATACATGTTTATTAGATTTTAGGTTATTGAATACCAAAGCTGTCACCAGTATTACAAAGTAACGTAGGTTTGTGAATGCCCAAGCTACCACCAGTACCACAGGGCACAGAGCCGCTACGTTAGTGAATACAGTAAACGGGCCGCGGGCCGGCTCTTCGATATTTAGGGATTAGATACTCGTATAAATTAGACACTTCAGACCGTAAGATATTGAGGTACTCAGATTTCTAGATATTTTTAAAATTTAGAAACTCTGGAGACTAAAAATATTTAGAGGTAACGGCCCCGCTGCGCGGGGCCGAGTCGATATATTTAGAAATTCTTGAAATAAAAAAGCTATAAAGCCGACTTTGAAGAATTTATAATTATTCTAAGGTAATCGAACTGATTTAAGAACGTGTTAAAGGTTTCAAGAATTAGAAAAATTAAAATCATGTCTGATGTAACTGGCAATTTTAAATAACAATTGTTTAGGTTGCGAAGTTGCGAACTCTCTAGAAGTAGTAAAAGGCGTCCCGCAAAGCGATTTTGGATTTTGTCACGTCCAGATTGCAGTTTATGACGTCACAAATATAGTCTAAAATACCAATGCATTTATCGCAACCAAGTGTCTTAGTTTACACACTAGTTAATTACACTAATTAATTAATTAAGGTTTTAGTCAATCTTACAAGCACCTACCAGAAATGAACTTGTTATAGCTAATTTTTTTCAGAAAAAACGCTGAGCTGAGTGATATTTGAACCATGTGAATTTGAGGTCACGTGACCAAGGTATAAGTTTTTATGTTACTTTGTTGAAATTCAGCAATTATTTGCTAATGGCTACTAAAATGTGTGACACATGACTTTTTAACGTCATAAATACAATGCAAAAATTCCATAAAAATAACCAAATTCAGACCCTAGTTTGTATTATCAATTGCATAGATTAGAGGATTATCGTAATCATACACGCACATACTAGCTTTCGTGCACGCACTAAGTTGCTGGAAACAACTGTTACATTTATCGCACAATAAAAGTACAGTTATAAAAGTGGGCAGTTCATGGTGCAGCCATACCTGTTTGTCCATTAATAAATAAGTATAATCCTCCAACTGTAGAAATAATAATGCTATTTTTAACTGAATGGAATTTCAACGCGCCAGTAGCGTCATAATTATAGTGCTCCACCATGCCAGAAAAAATGTATACACAGGATCATGCTGAACAGCCAAATATAGTTAGAATAAGTCTTCCAGTAGTGTACAGTGTACTTCATAAGGCGCAATTCACGTACGCGTAAATGTACAATATTTTGTTACAAACTGCAGTGACTTTTTAAAAGTTAATGTAATTGCATTGTCTTGCAACTACGCATATGTATTGTACATGAGTACCATAGTGTTAAATAGTTTGTTATTCCTGCCGCTCGGGCTGTATGGCATTATTGGCGAGGTAGTCGCGCTGATGTTCGAGCGCTGTTCCACGCCGCAAAAGAATGTAAACAACTTGTTGTGTGACCGGGAACTCATCATAGTACGATGAGCAAAGTATACAATAACGTACACCATACAGCATTATACGTAAACAGTATACAACTTTGAGCTGAACAGCTAATACATTGTAACCCACAAGCATTGAATTATTAATAAATAAATTCTTTAAATACTTGAGACATACCATTCTATGTAGAAAAATCGGCTTTACAAAGTACTATTTTTAAAACGGAGTACATACTCGTATTATCATTTTATTGTAATGGTTAGACAAACAGTACACAAAGCGTTCCACGCCGTGCCCAGGCGCACATTAGGCACGCCACCCATCGGCGCATCAGAGATACGGTTCTTCGCTCATCCATGAGCGCTATCCTGCCTTCGCCGCAGCTACGTTAGCGACTAAAAAGTTTCGATTTGCATTCAGATAGTGCGCTGAAGGGTTTATTTTTTACGCGCAATTGAGGTAAAGCATCATTAAGTAGTAATTTTATGACTTTGTAAAACCAAAATCAAAAATCATGCTGTAGTAAGACGTGTACAGTATACAACCGCTCACGCTGAATAGAACATTCATCTGCCAAACTGATATGATGAGCGCGCGTATGTGTAACGGAATGCTTTGCAATACTAAGTTTACATAGTTATTACAAAAGAATGATAATGCTAAGCCTGTTAAAAAAATGTACTTTGTATAGCGAGTTTCTTCTCTACAGAATGGTATGCTCAAAGTATTTACAAAAATATATTCTCATCAAATTAATGCTTTTCGATTACAAACCGGATTAAAAATATGGGTTGCTTAAAGGTACAGGTGGATTGCAATGAGCGCTGGGTTGGCGCTTGCCGTCATAGCCACTGCACTGCATATAATCGTTGTCAAAATAATAGACTTATTAACTGCAGCACTACAAATAAATTACTACGCTATTACATTAAACAAAAGAATGAGTAGATAACTGTAATTGAAATATTTCGCGTGCGCTAGCTTTGTTCAGTTTTTGAAACGCTAAGATAGTGTGGCATGACAAGCCATTGTAAGTAAGAGGCAGTTTATCGGACCTGACTACTTGCTACTTGCTACCATTTTCGCAGGCGTGGTCTCCCGTAGCCGTTTTGGTAGCAAGTAGTTTCACAAAATGAGTTTATGCTGGCTGACTACTGCTACGTAGCTGGCTATGTAGCACCGACTATGTAGCGCGAATGCCTGCATAAACAGACGATGCTACTAGTAGTCGTGACTAGATTGCTAGCTCGTAAGGACAATGGTTAAGCCATGTAGTAACCTCTTGAGGTTGCTAATCCATATACGAACTTCGCAGATAATGCGGAAAAATTCGATACAGTACACAATAACCATTAAAAAGTTTGAAACCAAGTTCGAATTAACAAACACTTTCATGTAATGAAACTTTTTAAATTTAAACTTCGATTTTTTTAACTTTTAAATTAAATTTGAAATTTAAATTGTATTTTTTTTAAAGTTCAAATTTGAACTTAAATTTTTTTTAAATTTCAACTTACAACTAAACTTGAAATTTCAAAAATAAAAGTTTCAAAGATTTCAGTTTAGCTTTTGAAAATGTAATCTTGAAACAAATCAAATAAAAAAAATGTTTTGTATGTACAACAAATTGAAAAGTTAAAAGCGGATTAAAATAATTTCCAGAAAATAGCAATAATACGAGTACGCCT